AGTTAACTTCAATACCACAGGATAAGGATAGGATATAGGATTTTTCCACAACCATGTGGGTTCAGCCAGCTAACTACCAAGGAAGTAGTGTACTGAGTAATAAGATTGGCCAGCCCCACTAACCCACTAGCAAGATATTGGTCTTTCTTGCAAAGTGTCTGCCCAACCACAACTCCAGGTCATGGTTCATTCCCCCCAGCCACATCAGCTGACCCCACTGCCAGGACATCATCCCTTCCCCCAGCCATGTCAGCTGGCCCCACTTCCAGGTCACTAATCTATCCCATAGCTGGTTTGGCCAACCCCACTTCCAGGTCACTAACCTATCCCATAGCTGTGTCAGCTGACACCACTTCCAGGTCACTAATTCATCCCATAGCTGTGTTGGCCAACCCCACTTCCAGGACACTAACCTATCCCATAGCTGCATCAGCCGACCCCACTTCTAGGACACTAATCTATCTCATAGCTGTGTTGGCTGGCCTCACCTCTAGGACACTAATCTATCTCATAGCTGTGTCAGCCAACCCCACTTCTAGGGCACTAATTCATCCCATAGCTGTGTCGGCTGACCCCACTTCCAGGACACTAACCTATCCCATAGCTGCATCGGCTGACCCCACTTCTAGGACACTAATCTATCTCATAGCTGTGTCGGCCGACCCCACTTCTAGGGCACTAATTCATCCCATAGCTGTGTCGGCTGAACCCCACTTCCAGGACACTAACCTATCCCATAGCTGCATCAGCTGACCCCACTTCTAGGGCACTAATCTATCTCATAGCTGTGTCGGCTGACCCCACTTCTAGGACACTAATTCATCCCATAGCTGTGTCGGCCGACCCCACTTCCAGGACACTAATTCATCCCATAGCTGCATCAGCCAACCTCACTTCCAGGTCATCAATCCATCCTATAGTCATGTCAGCCAACCCCACTTCCAGGGAAGTTGATCCATCATCCTGTGACATAGGCCGACCCCACCTTCACAGTCTGGCCTACCCAACCCTAGGGATCACCGGCTGATGTTGGTTAGTCCCAGTTTCAGGATGAAATGTACATGTCAGATGACCCACTTTTAGGACTACAAGTGACTGAATCATGTGAGAAGGCAGATGAAGTGGCCAAGGTTGCACTGCAGGGATCTGCACAAGGGAGCAAGGGTAAATCTAAGGAGAAAGCAGAGTTAATAGCCAAGGTTGCAACAGTCACAGAAGAGGATAATGGACCTCTTTGCCTGTTCATAGCATGCACACACCCTGAGACCAGTGCATCAGAGTGGGTAGTCAACTCTGGTGCCTCAGCACACATGTGCTGTCAATGCTTGTGGTTTGCAACACTCAACAAAATGTCACCCTCACAGCTGGTGATCATTGGTGATGGTAGAACCATACAAGCTATCAGGAAAGGGAGAATCAAAGTCTCCATGCACCTTGAGGATGGCTGCATGAGCAAGACTATCCTCTGAGATGTCTATTATGTTCCAGACATAGACACAAACCTTGTGTCAGTGCCTGCACTAGCCTCAAAGGGACTTCTAGTCACCTTTGGAGAGTGAGAGTGTAGGGTGCATGCCAACAACAAGGTTGTAGCTCTGGCTACTAAACAAAAGTCCCTCTACATACTCAAAGCAAGCATCATATCCAGGAGTCATTCTGCATACATTATCAGTACTCCTGATGCACTAAATCCAGATGAACCCTTCATGGCTCTCACCTCACATATGACAACATCTAAGGCTACATTAACCACCTGGCATCATCAACTTGGACACACAAATATCAGAAATGTCCTAAGACTATCTGAAAAAGGCATGGTGTCCAGGATGGAGCTGACAGGACCGAAGGAGCATAACATGACTTCATGCAAGGCCTGCCATGATGGCAAACAGCATCAGGAACCTATACTGTTGAAGTCAGGTGTAGAAAATCCAAGTGTACTCTACAGGAGCTACACAGATGTGTGTGGACCTATGGAGACTGCAGGATGCTCTGGTCATCAGTACTTCATAGCATTTATTGATGGACACTCACACCACCTGGTAGTTAAGTTAATCAAGACAAAGGATGAAGTCTTTGGACTCACCATGGAATACTTTGCAAGAGCTGAAGCAGAGACTGGACAATGCCCTAACTACTTTCAAAGCAATGGTGGTGGGGAATATAGTTTGAAGGAATTTGAAACCTATCTGAAGTCAAAAGAAATTCATCATGAAAAGATGAATGCCTACACACCACAGGAAAATGGCATAGCTGAACAGATGAACTGAATGCCTGTTGAGTCCATGCACACTATGCTCAGTGATGCCAGACTACCCAACAAGTATTGGGGGGATGCCATACTGCACACAGCACACATAATAAATAGACTACTGACTAAAGTGCTCAAGCAAGGCAATACCCCCTATGAGGTGTACACAGGGAACAAACTGTCAGTTGCTCATCTTTGAATTTTTGGATGCATGGCTCATGTCCATGTTCTGGAGGAAAAGCATCAAAAGCTGGATGTTAAGTCCCTTGAGTGCATGCTCTTGGGATACTCAGAGAATAAAAAGGCATGCCTGTGCATACATCATCCTACTGGGTGAATTGTCAAAACATGCAATGCCATCTTCAATGAAGGGGATGGCACAGACATGTCTCAAGTCCAGATAGATGTGGTAACTAAGGAAACGAGGCATACAGCACCTGCAACTCATGCACAAGGGATTCAAAGGGAGGCTGAACTACCAGAGAGCAAACCAAGCTCAGATGACTCTGAAAGTGAGTCAGATGGTGGAAATGGTGAAGGACACACCTGGGGTAGTCAAAATGATGAGACAGTGGCTGACAATGGCATGCTGATCCCTGTCAATTGCAGCTGCTCAAGCTCTGAGGCTAAAACTCATATTAAAACAGAGAAAAATGTTAGTGGGCCAAACCATGAGCATAATGAAGCAGAATGCCCCTCTGAGCATCGACACCAAGCACCATCTGTGGCCATACATTGCCCTGGCTCGATGCCTGGGCCTCCTGGTCCTTATCTGATCCCAATTCCCCCCTTGGCACTTCACAGGTCATCCTGAACTAAAAAGGTGCCTATTTGAGGTGATGATCAGTGCTATTTCATTAATGCATATCAAAAACATACCCTACCATCTGTGGAGGATGCTGAGATAGAGGGTGAGGGCACAGAGACAAAGAGGAGCACACATGTGAGGATGTGGCAATGGTGAGGCAGAGTGGTGATGACCCAGAAAGGGAAAATGTTACCACATACCAAACAAGCACAACATGTGACAATGAACCTACAACATTTGCAGATGCGATGCGATGCACTAATGCTGACTGCTGGTATGCAGCAATGGCCAATGAATTGGCAATGTTTTGCACTATTGGATTATACAAGGAGGTGCTGTGCCCACCTGACAGAAAAGTTATAGATTCAAAATGGGTCTACAAAATAAAGTGAGGCCCTACAGGTGACATCAATAAGTACAAGGCATGACTTGTTGCAAAGGGATTCATGCAGGTCCATGGCATCAACTATACAGAGATGTTCATACCTGTAGCTAAGTTTGCCACTATCAGAGCTCTACTTGCTCTTGCTGCTAAGCACAACTGGGAGATTCACCAGATGGATGTGAAATCTGCTTTCTTGAATGGAAAACTCAAGGAGGAGATTTATCTTTGTCCTCCCCCTGGCTTCTGAGGCTCAAGCAATGTCATATGGCACCTTCATCGTGCTCTCTACAGACTAAGACAGGCTCTGAAAGCTTGGTACAGTTGACTACAAGAAGTTTTTGAATCTCTCAGGTTCATGTGCAGTGACACTGACCATAGCCTTTTCTACAAAGTCAAAAATAGGATCCTAATTATAGTTGCTGTTTACATTGATGACAAACTGATCCTCTTGAAGAGCCATGAGGCTATTGACTGCCTCAAAGTCCAGCTATCAGCTGAGTATGAAGTCTCTGACTTAGGCAAGGCCCAGTGGACCCTCAACATGGAGATTATATGAGATTGCAACAAGGGAACCATAGAGCTATCTCAGTGCCATTATGTAGAACTCATCCTTGACTGTATGGGTATGCAGGATGGCCATGCAGTGTCTACACCTATCAAGTAGAATTTAAAACTAGAGAAACTTGATGCCCCCCTTCATGACCTACATGCATATCAAAGTGCTCTTGGAGTGTTAATGTATGCTATGCTGGCTACCTGGCCAGACCTCATGTTCACTGTGGGTGTGCTTAGCAGACATGTGGCTACCCCTGGTGACCAACACTGGACTGCACTCAAACATGTTTACAGATACCTATGAAAAACCATTGATGTGCATTTACAGTACATGAGACTCTGCAAGTTCTCTCATAGGCTATGCTGATGCTGACTGGGCTGCAGATGTAAATGACTGTCTTTCTGTAATGGGCTATGTCTTTACTCTGTCTGGTGGAGCTATTAGCTGGTTGTCAAAGAAACAGACCTCCATTGCTCTGTCTAGCATGGAAGCTGAATACATGGCAGTCTTGGCAGCTGCAAAAGAAATACTCTGGCTACAGACCCTACTACATGAACTAGATATGGACATGAGTGCACAGCCTACCCCCCTTCTAGTCAACAATCAGTCTGCAATAGCTCTGATGAGTAATGCGATGTTCCATGACTGCACAAAACACATAGCCATTCATCATCATTTTATCTGCAAGAAGGTCGAGGGTGGAGAAGTGGATGTCAAGTATGTATCTATGAATGAACAGGTTGCCAACATTCTCACCAAGGGACTGTCATGCAAGAAGCATGACCTCTTTTCTCTTGGTATGGGAATTATTTCCCAAGACTTACTACACTGAGGGGGTGTGTTGGAACATATGTCCCCTGTGTTTGTTTATTTACAGTGTATGAGCTTACATAATAATTCTTTGCACTTAGGCAGTTAGTTTTTCCTTGTGCACCTCAGCCTTCTTACCACAGAAGTCTGAGCCTTTCTTTCAGCCTCCTCTCAAGAGAGCATACCTTACTTACCTCCACTGATGGATGATTGTTCCACACCAGTGTATCCCAGCAATCTGCAAACTTGCCAACAATCCTGCCCTTGTGTTCCTTGCACCAATCAATTGCACATAAGTTCCTAAAAACAATGCATTACAAGAATATCAGATTTGTCCCACATTGAGTCAGCCCAGTGAGCTCACTTACTGGGGTGTTGTGGAAGTCTGACTTGCATGCATTGTTGAGTTTCTGTCCATCACGCTGTGCTTCTTCTTCACACCTGTGTCACTCACTGCCATGGCCATCGAAACTGATGAAGGCCTCAAGTGTGAGACTGGAGTGGTGGGTGCTGGCATTGGGTTAGGGTGTGAGACTGGAGTGGCAGGTGCCAGCATTGGGTCAGGGGAAATCACATTGATTTCTGTCAAGCTTGCTGAGTTAAGTCCTCCAAGAAGTTGGCAGAGGACTGACACTTGTGAGCCTACTGGTTGAGTCACTAGTTCTGGCTCTTGTTCAAATGCTAAAGTGGGATTTATTTGAGGGGGAGGGATCATGGGCACAATCTGATACAAAACATTAGACAGTAGACCAGGCCCATTGCAAATTTACATACCTTGATGTGTTTGTATGCATCATCAATGAGGTTGTCATCTTGGACAATGTTGGCAGGACTGTTCTGGTCTGCCACAGTAAGATAAATGTGCAAAGAACTGCTGCTGGAGCCTGAGAGTGGGGTTTCCAGTTGTACTTCCTTTTTCTTCTTTGTGAACTGTGGAGTCAGAGGTAAAGAAATTGATTGTGGTCGCTTTTGTGGAATCATTTCATTTGGCAACATTGGAGTACTGCTCTCTTCCTTGATATCCAGAGCAATGCCTTTGGAATCACAGGAGTGGCCAGTCTAACCAGGATAGTACATGGACATGAACATGTCCACCTTCCAATTATCCATGCAGTAATGGAAGGCACTGAACTTAGTCCACATAGAACATGCAAAGAACTCAAGTGCTGGTGAGGATACCTTGGCCCATGTTGGAGGGGCATACCCAAATTTCTGTAAGCAGTGGAGCAGTGGACATGCATAGTCACAGAAACATTGTTGTTCATCATTGCTCATAATGACACTGTTGACATCTTCAAGGAAACCAAGAGTGCCTGAATCATCATTTCACACAGTTTTCAAGTATCCACAGCCATTGTGGTGATCATGGAGAAATTCACTTTCCAGAAGTACTTGACATTTGGGAGTTCATTGGCACTATAGTGAGGCACTGTGTTGTCCTGGTGAACTTGATGCAGTAGTATTAAGAATGGATCATTGATGTTCATCCCACCAGAAACATTGCTGAGTGAATTTATGGACTTGAGTAGTTGCTGGCATATCTCCCTGTCAGATCCAAAGAGTGTTAGCATACAATGTCACATATACACAAGTTGCTTACTTAGTTGTCACTAGTTCATGCTGGAGAGAATGTTCCTGGCTCTCTGATTCTACAGAATCCTTCTCTGGCTGAAGCTCAAGATGGGATGATGAAGATAGCAGTGTTGAGGGAGGCCCACACAAGCTAGCTAGGGACCTGGGCATGTGTGACAAACTGCTGGTACTGTGAGATGGCACTTCCTAAAAAAAACAGTGTCAGTCATATTCCTAATGTTAGTATGGGATGGTACACTTGTGAAGAAAGTCCAGTCATTTGATAAGTCCTGCCCAAACTCACATTGCACTTGACTAGTACTTGCTCTGATAAGCAAGTTGCTTTGGTCCCCAGAATTGCCATGTTTGCTGTGAATGGAATCTGCTGAAGCATGCCTTCCAAGTACCCTACCAGTTGTTGCAGGTGTAGTGCTGGGCAGAGTTGGGAGCATGGAGCCTAGTGCAATAGGAAATGGTGTATGAGGCTGGTAACCTACATGAAGACAGGTGCTTAGTCATCTTATTCATATCACACCAGATAGCCTATATGTGCTCTCTCCTCCATACCAACACCATGTCAGTGGCCAACCATGAAACTCATTGAAAATGTAATCATTCTTGAGGTGGACAACATACTCCAAAACTGGCCTGCATATATCATCAACTTCACCCCCAAAAAGGCAGGTCCTATGGTATGTGATATTTCTTCTCTATTGCATGCTTCACTGATTAGTTGTGCTTTTAGAAACTCATCCTTCACTTGAAAACACCCCATAAATGTACTGTTATTGATTCCAATGATTCTGATGATCCCAAGACAACCAGAATTCACTGTATGTATGCATGCATACAGCCCATACTAATATTCTCAGTTGCAACCATTGTCCAGGTGCAATGATTACAAACAATGATGCCAAACTCACAGTAACATTGGCTCTGCAGTCTGAGGCTGGCACACCCCCAGTGAAAGCAGTGGATGCTGTCCCAGTTGAATTGTATGGATTCCCCAAGGATCAAATTGCATACATGCACAAGCACAAGGCATTCAATAGTGGCATGCCATGGCCCTCCCCTTGTTCTCAAGCACTCTGGAAGATTTCTGCCAATACATCTGTCACAGGATACAATACTTTGAAAACCATCCCAGCAGCTGTTGTATGCAAGGGCTTCTGTGATGACAATAACAGCAACAAGACAATCCCCCTCAACAAGTTGTTGAGCTGACTCAACATTGAGGAGCTCTAGTTTCTCCATGTGTGCCACACATCAGGACTTTTGATCACATTTTCCACTTCGCATTTGGACTTTGCAGTGCTTGCATTCCAGCATTTAATGTACATTACACTTTTGAATTTCATTTTGCCACTCGCATTCCAAGTTCAACAAAAAACAACATTCATTTTCATATTCCCATATGTTTTAATAGCATGAGCATATATGTGTAGTCTTCAAAATGAAGTTCAGTTGGTCATGGTCTGTTCTGTGCCCAGTTGCGAAGTAAAAGAAGTTTGATTTGAGTTGTGGAATTCTTTACTAGCACAGCAGGTACATGTATTTTCATGCAATGAAATTCAACCAGCTGCAGTTGGGTCCCCATCTTCATCATCCTCATCACTAATCAAGAATCCTCTGAGGCTCATGACATCCAACCCTGGCTGTTCAAACATAAAAATGCAGTTTTCTCCATCAATCTGGTGAGGTACCATTGCTACCACCTGCTTAATATCAGCTGCCTTGATGACCACAAGCATGTTATTGCCAAGATATTTACACATGAAGAGGGCACCACTTGAATCACAGAGGAGCTGCATCAGTAAATCACTTTTGCTGGCCAGAGCTGTCCAGAGCTGTCCAGCACTGGACAGATTCCCTAGGACTGCCAGCACACAAAGTGGTTTACTGATGTGGGGATTTGGGGAGGAATAGCATGAGACCATCACAAGTGCAGTTGGGGGAGCATTCTGCTGCATTTGTGCTTGAAAAAAAAATGGACAAGACTGCATTTGATGTGTCCATCATCAGTGAACCAGCGCATCATCAGTAGAGCTCAAGAAAACACTGCAAGAAGTGACTTACCCTGACATTACATGCTCTTTGAGCATTTGGCTTGTGCTCCCTACTGCACCAAACTGACCAACACTTTTGGCCATTCAGTAAAAGCAAGCATGCACATCAGTGGACCTTGATGAGGCCTTTGTGTGTGGTAAACTGTAGTGCAGGGGAATTGGTGCTATTGTGTTTCTCAAAATAGTCTAAGATTGCAAGTGTCTCTGATCTGGTTGTCTGATGACAAGTGCATTCAAGCTGGGGGAGAAGGTAATACCCATCACCTGCAGGTTCAGACCAGCAGGGAACTGGTGATTTGTCCTCATATTCATCAAGACATGGGACAATTGACTTGAGTGCATTGGTATGGGCATGATGGATGGTGATCTGTGTAAGATGGGCATATGGCTCAACATGCTGACACATCTCTTCAGTTAGATTCCCAATTGTGCATTTGATTACCCATTGCAATTCACACATGAGGGGACCCTTGGTCTCAACTGCATGTGCATAGTGAGTGAGAGCATGAATGCTCTGTCATATGAAGTGAAGGTGTTTGGGGTTACACTGGTAATATAAGTCTTCGAACTCGAGTACAAACTCCATGAAGAGACAGTGGGCCATGAGAAGTTCATCTCTGGTGATGCTATGCTGTGATATCAAGCAGACAGCACATACAAGCTTGCAAAAATGGTGCCAGTATTGATCAGGGAGAATGCCATGCAAAAGTGCTGGTGCAAGGCCATAGAGGTAGAGCTGAAACTCCCAAGCCTTGTATCCACTGGAAATTTTCTCTGCAGGGTTGCAAGGTGGATGTCCAAATGAGCCTGGAATAGCAGTAGTAGCTGCTGCTACTTTGGCACCATGTTCCTTCCATTGACAAGGGTTTGAAAGGCAGGGCCATTCCCATGTGGCCTTATTATCACCAGATTGACATTCAAATGTACTGTGCCAGAGTGGGATGAGAAGGTCAGTTATGTTGAGAGACAGCAGGTGCATGATGTCAGAGCCAAAGCACTTGGGGACACCAAATGATCTGCTTGGATGGAATCTGAGGAATATGCTGGGTTTTGATATACCAGTCTCTAGTCATCACCATCTGTACTGTGGTTCATTGGGAGATTGTAAGATGTAGATAAGGTTTTCCCAGTACTTGGATGCTGAGCACATGGCAAACTGATGTGGGTCAATGTCTGGGTGGTTTGACCTGACAATGTCAAAGTTCCAAGGTTTCTTGAGTGCTGGATAGTAGTGTGATGCACTCTTGTTGTGTCGACCTTGAAGCCCACAGTAAAGATGGCACCCATTCTTTCCATGGTGGCCAACCAAGCCATTCAGATATGTGAGACCAGGGCCATCAGCTGTACCAATTGCAATAAATAAATTTGAGTGACAAGATTCATTGGTAGATGCATCCCATACTGGCAAACCTTCTTTTTGAAGGGCTGCAACATGGTAGAGACTTGGAAACAGGAATGAATCCAAGTTCTTTGGTTTGTTCAGCCCAGGTATGACAATGCTCGGGAGCATGTATTTCTTGTGGTATCAAGTTTCAGGGGAGCGGTCAAGGACAACCCATATTGAAATTCAATAGTCAGACTGCTTGTTGCAGTATAATTGTGCTCCATCTACTGAAGTCATGAGAACAATGTCATTGTCTTTGATTTGACCATTTTGGACTGCCTCAAGGTAATCTGAGCTGTCAAAAAAGTCATTATAAACATCTCAGATGCCACCAGACTGCACAAGCTGTTCAAGCATGAAGTGAGTGTACTCTCAATGATATCACATGTCCATAGCCTTCTGAGGGTCCCAGTAGAGTGCTTGCAGTTGTGGTCCAAGCAGGATTACACTGAACTGCTTATGGGGTTTTTTAATAGAGCCTTGAGTGTCTCGAAAGATGGCCAGATCATAGTGTCCTTCCCCACATTCTGGGCATGTATGTTGTGTCAAAAATGGGCCTGTGCATGTGATACAGGAGTTAACACACATATCATGGATGCCTCAATCCCACTAAGCTCAGCAGTGATTCGCTTGATCTGGTGTAGGCTAGGGAATTCCTTGAATCCAGCATGTTCCTGGAACACCTTGCATGTGGTCTTGTAGTCGCCATCCATGTGGTTGAGGCCAACATACAGCTTGATGGCCAATATGAATACTTTGTCATTATGAAAGGTAGCTGGCTCCTGTGGTGGATTGCATAGTTGGTTGAGTGCATCTGAACTGAGACATGCAGTTGAATGGTCGAGGGAGGCAGTATGCATTGCCAGTATATACAACAGCACTGTGCAGAGATCATCAAGCTTGACATTCAAGTGGAGGTCCCTCAGGACCTCCTTGTCACTATTGAGAGGTTGGGGGAGCTCTATGCCATGGTCTGGTCCATTGGTGTGCTGGAAAGATATCCAATTGTCACTATATCATGCTTGTCAATAGTATAATCAGCCTTGTACATACCATGGTCATGGTCTTGTGAAGTATCTAGAATAGCAGGCAAGTGTAAAGCCTGTGAAGCACATGAAAAAAAGACTGCTTCACATGCTTCACAGGCTTTACAGTGCCATTGCATGTTGTGAAACATGTAAAGTATGGTGAAGTGAAACAAACTATCTATTACAAATCATGCAGTATTGAGGAGCATATTTGGAAAATTCCCATGCACACAGCCTCAATGAGCATCAAGGAGGTTTTTGTGGGTTTTGACTGGGGTTCATACCTGGCATCATTGCCTAGGCCATGCAAATCTAAAGTCAGTCCTTGCACTGAGTAGCAAGGAAATGGTCAGTGGAATGGAAATTGTTGATTCCAAGAAGGGAGGTGATGAACCATGCAGGGCATGTCTAGAGGGAAAGCAACACTGAAATGTGATAGCAACCAAGTCAGGAGTGGAAAATCCAAGTGTCCTCTACAGGACATACTCAGATGTGTGTGGACCAATGGAGACAACTGCATGAACTGGGTACTGCTACTTTGTCACCTTCATTGATGGCCACTCCCATCACCTCATCATCAAGCTAATAAAGACTGAAGATGAGGTATACTGGTGAACAACCAAATATTTTTCATAGCAATGGTGGAGGAGAGTACAGCTCCAAGGATTTCAAGGCCTATCTCAGGTCAAAAGGGGCACATCATGAAAAGACAAATGCTTGCACCCCTCAAGAAAATGGAGTTGCAGAATGGATGAATCAGACCTTGGTCAAGTCCACCCATTCAATGCTAAGTGATGCAGGGCTACCTAACAAGTACTGGGCCAACACTGTCCTACATACAGCCCACATCATCAACAGAGTCCCTACACATGCACTATCAGAGTTGCTCACTCCATACAAGGCCTATACAGGGAACAAACCTTCATTATCACATCTTTGGATTTTCAGCTGCAAGGCACACATTCATGTTCTGGACAAAAAGTGAAAGAAACTGGATGTTAAATCATTAGAATGCATCCATCTGGGTTTCACAGAGAACAAAAAGGCCTACCTGTGTCTGTATAGACCAACCAGGAAGGTAATTGAATCATGTAATGTCATGTTCAACAAGGGCAACTCCAGTGGCCTGGACCAAGTGGTGATCAAGGAGAATGTTGATGCTGTTGAAAAGGGCAAATCAAGTGAAAAGATGACACCAGAGAACATGGACACTCAGCTAAGTGTGGACTCAGAGGTTGATGGCCAGGACCATGGTGAGGAGGCCACAGATGGCCATGGTATCAAAGTATCTATTCACAAGGGCCATGGCAAGGTCAAAGTCAAGCCAAGCATGGAAATGCCTTTGCATGATTGTGCACGATCTCTGTTTGGCACAGGAATTGGGCTAGCACTGTCACACACCAAAGGTGTTTGGTGAGGTGGACATGGATACAGCTGATGAATGGAGATGAAGACCATAGCCCTCATGTGAAGAAGGACAACCAGAAATGTCGGCTAGTCATCCCTCACACAAGAACAAGTCATCAGTGCCAGAGAAAAAGAAAGGGAGTGAGTTAAGCACTGGCTAAAATTCTTAAGCGCCCATGTACAGCATTCTGGTTTTCAACATATCTCTGCCATTTCTGCAGATACTGAGACCATTCCCACACTCACTTGTAGTGCTCAGCCATGCAATCTTACCTTCCAAAATTGGAAAGGATTTACACACTCCACATGCTTCTACAGCACTCCCTCCAAAAGATGCTCATTTTGCTAAATTCTTCTGATATGGCCACCTCTACATCAATCATTTTGCTTGTCCCCTTTGCTAGGGACCATGGCTACATATATCTATGAGGAGTTCCTACCAGCTTCTGTCCTGAAGCATCCTGGTACATCCCACCCTCATCTGTGCCCTCTCAGCCCATCCAGCTTGGACAGCATGTTCTTTTTGTCAGTATGACCTCTAGGAGGACGTTCTTGGTCGCCTCAGGTCTGTCATTCACTTGGAAAGGTCTTATGTGGTTGTTTCAGTCTCTCCAGTCCAAGAAGCATATGGATCCTTCCTCCCTGCTCCCTGCAATGTCTTCATACCAGTCTCATCCATCATTCTTCCAAGATTGTGACAGCTACAGTATAATCTACTGTTCTCCACTCTCCCTGATCACATCCATGATGAGTATGATGCACATCTTGCCTCCTTGTTGCAAGATACAGCAGAAGACACTCCCCCTTCATCCTCTCTTCCAACAGAGCCTTGTTCATGAAGTTTTTATTTGCTTCACTGAGAGGATGGTTTGAGGGGGAAGGTTGTGATCCCCTATGCTCCTGTCACCCCACAGACCCCCAAAGCTTGACCCCTGTTGACATCTGACTCACCCTGTCCACTTTTGGATGTACTATATCAGCATCAGATCAGTGCTGCCTCTCTGTCATCCCACCTTGGCCTAGAAGCGATCTCTTTGAGATGTGACATGCACAGCCTCCCCCTAATGTGATTCCAGTGCACTTTCCTGGTTCCTGACATCACTTGACTCATACTTTGACATTCTGACTGTCTTTGACTCACCTATTGCCAATACTTACCAATCTTTTGACTTTGCTTACTGATTCTTTGCTTTTTGGCTTGCTAATCCTTACCAATCCTTACCAATGCTTTCCAAGACAATTACCCATCACTTACATTCCTTACTCATCAGTTACCAATCACTTACCAAGTGTTTGCACCTTGTTTTCCAAGGGCAACACCCCTGTACTGTATATAAATCACTGTACTTAGATAGCAAAAAAAAAAAAAAGAAGACATCAGAGAGCCCCTCTTGCTTGCATTTTATCATCACTCAGTAATTCATTCAGCAGCTTCAATAGTTGAGACTTTATGAAGGGTCTAACTATCATCTACTTTGCTTATCCTTGTCTATCATCAATATACTTCAGTTCCAAGCCCTCCCTGAGCTCAGTGCAGCTTAGGACATTGAATTAAGCTGCCATCCATCCTTCTGTAGGCTGACAGCAGTCCTACCCTATCACTTTCTATCACATCCTTGCTCCCTCTTTGTCAGGAGCACCCCCAACCCTCAGCACTCATCCTTGAATGTTGTAGCTCACAAAAAACCACCCAAATCAAAGGTTCTACCATCTAGGTACTGCATAGGCACACCACCACTCACTCTTTTTGTCTTTTGTGTTGGTTTTGGTTGATTTTCACCACTGAACCACACTTTGACTCACAGCACCCAGTGATGAAGAGAATAAAACTGTTGGACCTGAAAATGTTATCAGTATACCACAAACAAGGTTGTCTGGGTCTGTGTGTACAGTCACTTGTCCCCCTAGCCAGTCAAGAGGACCACCAATGCCCTATCTGCACCCAGTTCCATTGCCAGCCATTCAAAGGTCATCTTGAGCTCAAAAAGCACTGGTCAGAGATGACAATCCAGAATACTTGGTGAACACTTACCAGAGATCAACTTTGCCCAAGAATATGGCAAACAGCAATGAGGGAGTGGTGGAAAGGGCCATAAAGACAATGTGGACTGAGTATGGGCACAACGAGCCTTGCAGTGGCAGCAAGGTGGAGTGTGACTGTCACATGTCACAAACACATGCTTACCATGCAAAGGCCAGCCACAACAGTGAACCCAGCACATTCAATGAGGCTATGGCTTGTCCAGATGCTGACCAATGGTATGTGGCAATGCAGGAGGAACTTAGGATGTTTGAGAGGATAGGATTGTATGAAGAGGTCAACCCCCCTTGTGATCGCAAAGTAATAGATTCAAAATGGGTTTTTAAAATCAAACAAGGACCCATGGGCAAGATTGAGTGCTACAAAGCATGACTCATAGCCAGAGGATTTACACAGATGCAAGGTATCAATTACACAGAGATGTTTGCACCAGTAACTAAATTCTCTACTATCTGGATCTTACTTGCTCTTGCTGTGAGGTATGACCTCAAGATCCATCAAATGGATATCAAGTCCACATTCCTAAATGGCAAACTGGAAGAAGAAATCTACCTACATCTGCCACTGGGTTTTCATGACCCCTTGGGCAAGGTCTGGCACCTATGACATGCACTCTATGGGCTAAAACAGGCCCACAAAGCCTGGTACAAATGACTTCACTCTGTGTTTGAATCACTGGGATTCATGCACAGCCATGCTGACCATTCATTGTTCTACAAGGTCAAAAATGGAGTTATTATCATTGTTGTGATCTATATAGATGACAAGTTAGTTCTTTCCAAGTGTGCAAAGGCTATTGCCTTGCTCAAGAAGGCACTTGTGAAGGAGTATGACCTCTCAGACCTTGGAGAGGCATGCTGGATACTGGGTATGGAGATCATATGAGATCAAGACAAGTACAAGATAAGACTGTCTCAATGGTGCTATGTCAAGGACATTCTGGGACATTTTGGGATGCAGGAAGGTTGTGCTGTCACTACCCCTATTGAGCAAACTCTCAAGCTTGCAAAACTGGAGTCACCAGAGGTAGATGTGAAGGCTTATCAAAGTGTGTTGGGTGTGATAATGTACACTATGTTGGCAACTTGTCCAGACCTTGCATATGCAGTAGGTGTGCTGAGTAGGCATGCAGCTGCTCCAGGTGAAGAACATTGGACAGCACTGAGGCAGGTCTACTGATATTTGCACAGGACAGCTGAGGCATGCCTCACATACTCCAGGAGATCTGTACAAGATATTTTTGGATACATCGATGCTGACTGGGCTTTGGACATAAATGACCACTGCTCTATCATGGGCTATGTGTTTATTCTTGCAGGTGGTGCTGTCAGCTGGTCATCAAAGAAGCAGACTTCAGTCACATTGATCCACAAACTCAATATGAAGTTCACACTCAAGCCAACTCTCTTGTTACTGGACAATCAATTGGCAATGGCATTGGAAAAAAAATTCAATATTTCATGAGCACACAAAACACATTGCCATATGACATCATTTCATCTGGGAAAAGTTGGATGGTGGGGAGGTTACTGTGGACTATGTGCCAATGAATGGGCAGGTTGCCAATGTGCTTACCAAAGGCCTTTTGCAAGAGAAGCATATTCATTTCACTAATAGTATAGGCATTATTTATTAACACTGTCTTCGCTGAGTGGGTGTGTTGGAGAATGAGAGTTTACAGCAGGCATGTTCTGATTATGTAATATGCCTCTGTTAGGAAGAATATTTTTTCCTCTTTGCACCTCAGTCTTTGACCAACTCAAGACTGAGGTGAGGTCATTCATTTACTATACCAAGGACTGTAATGCTGATGCTACTTAGTACATTCCTTTCTTCCTTAGGTTAGTTTAATTATAGTCTTCAACCAACTTGAGACTGAGTACATTCCCTTTCTTCCTTAATGGCACACTCATTTGAACTTCATTTCCTCATAAAAGCTTTCATCCTATCCATGATTCCACTGTATCATGATATGTATCTTGTACTCCACTTTGGAAATCCAGACACTTGGCATTGTAGTGACAAATCTGTTTTTTTAAAATATCTCAGAGTGCAGGGTTGGCACTGGATTGGACTACACGAGCAGAGGTGGTGAGTACAAGAGCAGAGAAAATCTGGCTATCTATGCGTGGCCCAATTTAAATGGCCTCTAGCAGCTACCGCAGCAATGAGTGGCGGCATCCCACCCCTTGAGCGTTGTGGTTCACTTTACAAGACACATGCATGCGAGTTGCCAAAAAATGCGACATCTATGTGCTGCTCTTGCCTCCGAAGTGATGATGTTTGAAATTGCAAAGACATTCACATAAGATAGCCAAAACTGTCCTACCGACACGAAATATATCTCAGCGGGTAAGGAACATGGTTGGTCGTATCCTGTTCGCATTATCAATATTCAGCGTTGCCAGCAGGCGAACGGATGATCCATACCACCATCGTTTCAAAAGCCCCGTCATATACATCATCGATGGTGGAAAGACCGGGACGTATGTGGGGTTGAGGGGATGACGTTACATCGTAAAGTGATCCTGGATGGCCGGGAGTGGATAAGTGTTGATAGACCACAACGCGGATGTGATTCATTGTCACACTCCGGGCGCTTCGCTGAACTCCCGTCAGACGCACATGATGGCAACTAACTATAGGTACATTTTCAGACATTACGAACCGACGAAATATAAACTGGATGTTTCGTTTCGAAGATTTCCTTGTCTGACTCGGGTAAGCAGCTTGCGACTGGCTTTCGAGAGCAAAGGACAACGACGGAGAACCCTACCAGTCAATCACGGACTGAATGTTTATTTGGTGTCAGAATGACATTGGATATCGAGCCGATTTCTTGATGTCGAGCCCGTGTAATGATCACTTAGAGTAGGACGGGCAATATTGTTGCAGAAATAACGGAAAAGAGAATGACAAGTACCACGGGGTGAACGCAGATGGAACTATATCAATCACATTAACTAAGTGTCATGCAACGGACCTGGCTTGGCAGGTATTTGAAGGGATGCAACTTCGATATCATTGCCGTTTGTTCCAGCAGCTTGCTTAGGAGCCGTGCCGACATCATTCACTTTCATTGTCTGGGTCTCAACCATAACCACCATCGTTGACGTTGAGGAAGGATTGTACCGTGTTCCGCTCCGAATCAGCTGTGAGCCCAAGGTGATTATGGACGTGAATTCCAGTGGAACAGAGGTTGTGGGATCTTCAGTGCTGATGCGAAAGAGGAAAGCGACAAGTACGCTCAAGTTCGCCACAATCAAGCTAATTGATACCTGACAAACAAAGGATTGAGCCTGCACTGTACCGGAAACGCTAACGGAACTCAGAATCATACCTCAACCACAGCAGCAATGATTACTTTCAGCCCGCCATTATAAAACACATAATATGCATGGGTGAGGCTGACGACAGTGGTAACAGCAGACGTCGAAAAAATAGACAGAAGTCGGATCTTCTGGGCCCTAGTGAGCCTGACTTGGTGAATTAGACGGAATGGTGCTAGTATTAAGATCGTGTCACCGATCACATCAGCTGGATGAAGCAAATTAGACGGTCTATCCCATTCGTGCTGCACATAACCAACTCACTAATTATCTGTGCAATGGCAACGTTCCTACCTGTATCGCACTGAGGGCGCGGTTGCGTTTTCCAACCACTTTCTGCTTCGCAGGTCCAAAATATTTGCGCGCCAAGGATCATCCATGCAACCACAAATGCGACGGCGGTACGCACTATCCATCTCCTCAGTGAGCCAGGTGAAGTCAATCGCACAACTGTGAATAAAATCGAGATCCTGGACGACCTAAAACCATTCTGAGATAGCTCGTGACCAGAGAGGCAAGATTGATATCGCACCAAACGACCGCATAGAAGATCTGTACGTTTCTACAAAATATTCCTGAGCATGATGTGATGCTAGACTGTTAACAGAGTGTACGTATAATACAATGCCACCCTTGTATTTTGAGAATATCGAGCTATTAGAATACGGAGTCAGCGAGATTCGTTCTGGCGGAAAGATGACGCCATCACCGTAGTCATGCAGATACAACCAGAATGCTACCAAAGAAATTATATCGAATACAATGGCAAGCGCGGCCCAAACATCGTCTAACCAAAGACGGCGTTGTCGCATCCGCACGAACAGACGGAATGAAGTGACCACCATCGCAGCGATGGGCAAGACCGTACCAACAACTTTAGATTCATCAGTGATATCCTAAATCGTTCTGAAGGTCGCTACCTTCGGTTTGTTGAATTGTTAGTCCAGGGGACGCCATGTTATATAACTTGGGAGAGGGCCGGAGGAAGTGGGGGGGGAGGCTTAGAATATCATACATCTTTATTCCCGATGCTTCTCTTTGTAGTAAAAATCACTTCTGGTGTCACAGATCCTTCGATGGAATCGCGCGTGTCCAAACCATCAACTTCCCTGCGATCAGAATCATGATTGCAGGTAACGTACGCAATGCTTGAGAACTGCCTGATCTGTAACAACGTGTTCCAATTCAGCTACCGATCAGTCTATGGCACTTTACTCGGTTCGTCGACATTGACGAACATCACACCGGTGTGGGCGGAGCCCATCAATGATCAGAGCCACATTGTGTAGCCTAGTGTAGGCAAGGAAATCTGATGTCACTTGAAATGTTTCAGCTATCGACTACAGCGCGTAAGCGTAAAGGCTACCGTGCAGTGTCAGTAGGGATAAGAGTCTGGATAAGAATTTGCTATCGATTTCGGGGTAATACATAGCTGGCAGTACCACGACCACCTTTTTCATTTGGTCGGCGTCTAATCCCAGACGACCAATTCCCACGTTCCTCCCGGAAGTGGGAGAGGTGTTCATCAACCGGTCCAATGCAGCATGCTATTAAACTGATAGTAACTAACAACCAAGTCCTTTGATAGAGAGTGGGGAAGGCCCCTTAACCATCTCAGTCATGTTGGGGCTGTCTAGCCTGCCCACCACGTTTCTTCGGTACCACATTGGTTCGGCGCTGTGCATGAGATTCCCCTTCCTCACGCTGAGCACCAATGATCCTGATGTATATCTTGGTAAAACTGGTTGCTCTGCGCGCTGCCTATTCCTGCGAGTGGCGCCACATCTTCCACATGCCGCGGTGGGTCGCCTTCGCCAGTTTGATTCGTAGAGGGGAAGAAGCAGTAAGTGAACCCTTCTCCGTGATTTGACGCTACGTGCTACTGACGTGTTGCATTCCTGATTTGCGCAAAAGACAACATACGAGTCAGGACTAACGTCCTATCCACGACGGGCTGGAGTTTCTCCGCGAAAAGGACAACACAATACCAGGGACCGCAAGGAAGGAGGGTGAAGTTGTCAGCGGTGTGCAGGTGCGTGGAGAGTAATCTCCCATGTGTTATGCTTCACACGTCGTTCAAGACCAGACTCACTATACCCATTCACCGAATCGCCATCACCACTCAGCATACCTTGGCGTTCCACTTCTAGTCTTCCGTACGACCCCTCTAATTGATGGCTAGCAGTGAGATATCTACGACGACCCATTCTACTTGAGCAGACGATATACTTGGTGGGACACTTGGCACACACTTGACATCGCAGAAATAGTTGCAGAGGTAATGCAATACTTGACCAAAGGCGGTACGTGTTCATGAGTTCTGCCGCCTGGAACACACATCTAAAGCCCAAATATCCCAGTGCAGGCCAATACCATACACCGACAAGATCGACGACGACGTCAGGACTAGTTGATCTCAACACGAACGGTGAATTGCGATGGCGTATGTGGATACGCAAAGCGAGTGTAAGAGCACAAATTCGATGAGTATATCAAAATCGAACAGATTTCGGATGTTGCGTGTCAAGTCACGAGTCTCGCATGTCTCCGTATTTTTGGGTTCACATTGGCTCATGTCAGCGAGTGCTAGCCTTGAGAATTTAGAATCCGAGCACGCCCCTCTCGTCTCAACACAGTTTGAGCGGTCTCAGTGACTGGTTGTGTCGGACCGCGGCACCAGAACCTATCATCATCCCTCCGAAACCGCAGCTGAGAGAGTTTATAACGGCAATGAACAATACCGTCGAGTCGCCAATTAGGGCGAACTTGTGCATCCTGAAAAGCATGGCAGCATGTGGCCGGTATGGTTATGCAAATACTATCAGCCACGTTGCCCGCGTTCGTCGCACAGGTTTCCGATATATTCACAGCGAACCCTTGATACTGTGTTCGGCATGAAGGATCATTGTGAAAGCATAACTACGAAAAGAGCCATGGCATGAAGGTGTGCTTCGGCAGCGCCCGAGAAGATGGATTACACGCACCAAGTCCAGGACTTTATATATACCTAAGCATTGCGCGATCCAGAGAAGATCTAGTGGGGAGAAGGAGATCCTTCGCGGTTTAGTTCATCTTCGAGATGAACGATGGAAGGCGTTGTGCTTGCTCACCGTGTTATATGCTTTCGCTCATGTGTTGACTGGTGGACTCCTGATCTTCCGTATGACCTGTCGCGTCGACGGATCATTGTGAGTTGGCACTGCTGCATGCTAAACACGTGGGGGTGACTTGATGAGACCGTGGGCATGCACTTAGCATTAAAGAGGCGGTCCCGGTGAACATACAAAGATCATCAACTATGATAATTGAACTAGCTCATGCACAAAGATTGAGTTGCGGTGGATGTGGAGGAACGTTCCTATCCTGACGGGGACACGTTGTAATTACGTGATCAACGGCCGGACTTTCCCGGTTTGCACTGCCGGTTGACAACTTCGGGTCCTTCTAACTCCTGTCTTGTGTCGTATGGTCCCCACAAGAAAGCACTCAAGGTTCGCCATCCAAAAGGTCAGCAGTATAGCGCCTGCGACTTTAATGTCAGAAGATCTAGTAGGGGTGCCCAGCGATGTGTTTGTGGGTCGGTCTTGTTAATATCTGAATTTGCGGAACGCGGCTAAACCACACTTCTGTGTTGGGACGAATACACATGCTGGGACACTATGCATTATGTGTACTTTAACCGGATCAGGCGTTACTACTACACCAGCGGTGTCCTAATTCGTCGGAGTCCCTAAAGGAAGTTCTTCCATACCACCTCCTCATGTTTCCTGTTTATTGGATGGCAACATTTCATTTCAGATCAATCACAGACGCCCAAGTTTCTTTTCATTCTGAATTAACGGAAGGAGAAGCTATGCAGCAATGCAATATACTTTCTTGAATGTGTGTTGTGACTGAGTTTTTGCTTCGAGAGAACAGCTAATATCTGGGCAAGATTATATGCTTCCTCGGGGAAAGCTCTACGTTCTCGCATATTTCGTATCCGCCTGCATAGCTTGTGAGTAGGCGTTTACCTTGTGGAATGAGGGAATGTGTGACTATATCTATTGACGTAAATTCTGGGTCACTGCTCGGCGCTCAGCATCCAACGTTCAATCGCCATGCTGACGTCTTTGGCCCACCTGGGCTATACTAGGCCATATACACTTTACTCAGGCGCCCATGACCTTCTCCAAACCACAGGCCGCATGCTTTATTTCAAATTACAGGTGGCACATAAAGAAAGCAGGTAAGGACCTTCTCCGGCTCGTAACCTCGACTCCCCCCAGTCGGAGCCCGATTTCTATATTTTCGTCTTTACACGATGGAGGAGGATCACAACCCGTTAATTACATTTAATACCACTCACTCTAATCAGAGAAAACCCGTTGACATTTAACGGTTGCGTCAATGTGAGTAATAGTTTCATTACCTTCCTAGCAACCCACGCATTTCTACCTATCCCATGCATGCAGGCATTTTCCTCATCTTACTCGGCGCACCTTCGCTGGACAGCCTTCGCCGGATGTCAGAAAACGACGAGGAAGAATGGTCTAAACTTAAAGACCGTTTGATCCAACGCACAATAAATATCAATGTTGTTGGTACTCTTACGGTTGCGTATGTCATAAACCGAGTTGCTCTGATATATCTCGTGCTTACCCTATCCCAATGCAGCTCTTCTGCTTCGTTTCTGACTACCCCTTCCCCAACTAACTTTGCCAAATGGAACCGCGAATTTCCCTACGCTTGCATTGCAGCTTGTAGCGGGAGTGCTATGCTGGCCGTTATTAGCGGCCTCGGCCTACTTATATTTCTGAATGTGATGAGTCCTGAATCTATCAAAGTAAGTGGCTCTCAGTTATTTGCTATTCTTGCTGATTCCTATCGCTTCGCGTTCAATCAACGATGATAGGCGGCAGAGAAGAGCACGTTCAAATTCGCGGTCCTCGTCACGTTGCTAATGATGCCACTCACCTTCCTGTCTACTGCGTCACTATGTGCTGGTTTTGCATGGATTGGGGCTGTCTGGCACGCTGACAAAACCTGGATGAAGTTGTTAGTGTACATTGGTTGCGTAGTATTCGTTTTCACCTTATTTGTGATTAGTGCTGTGCTTTACTAGTCCTGCTGTATCCGCAACATGTATTGTACTTCACTTCGGAATTTGGCGCTGGAATGAGCTTTATATCTTGGAGTGCAGCGCTGGCACTACGCTAGTCGGACTGAAGCTCACAGCAATTCCATGCATCTGCCCCTAAACATGGCTACTTTCCTCTCCTCAGTCGTGGGAATTCACTTCACAAAGTGGCAGGGCATGAGCACGGTTGGTCATATTCCCGATTGTCATGTTGACTAGAGGAGTGCAACGCAGGCGAACGGGTGATCCATACTACATCGTCGTCAACAACTCTGTCGTTCATTGGTGGTGCATGTATGTGGGGGATTGAGGGGATAGCGCAAGGCGATCTCTCTTGTCTGAAGGTCGGATTCACAATACTCAATGGCAGATCACCACCAACTATTCACCATACACCGACCGACTTCCCGTACAACGTATCGCGTTAGTCTAGTCAATGTAACTTGTAAGGATGGGATGCGACGGCCATACGGACAGTATGATCAACAGGGCACGCATTCCCTCCCCCAATTATTGGTGGTGTATCGAGTGCTGCACACGGAGCCGCTACTCCTTTGATAAGAATACAAACTTCTTGTAATATTATCTTCACTTGGACAACTTATACCAGGACGCTGTCGTGGTGCGCCGTTATGGGTGTTGTAGACCTGATATGTATACCGATACCTGTTTCCGTAGCACATAGGGGTTTCCTTCTGCTTCTGCCAGACATTTTTAATCCAGAGGCTTGTCAATGGTATATAAATAACGCCCTAAAGCATCGGGTGAAAGTTTGATCGCCGTCGAATAAGTCATCTGTAAGCGATAGGCGGAAGATGCTGGATTGAAAGTCGTCGCAAGACAGCTCACACCGAGGGACTTGCATTTTGAAATTCGAGAACCCAAGCGTAAGTATAGAATTGATGAGAAGGGGATCCCGCAGATCGATAGCCGTCACATTTTTGATTAATTGTCGGGGGTGGACATATCAGCTTGGAAAGATCTTACGTCCCTTACAATGCAAAAGAAGCTTTTACACGAAAGAATGACAAGGGTGTACCTGATAGGATGGTAACGTCATTCCGGTGTGTACACGTCAAAACCACTCACCTGAGAATGCTGGGCAATCAATACACAGTACATATCATATCCAAGCTCCAAGATGTAGTCCGCTTTCGGCCGCAACCGTAACTTGCAGTATAGCGATGAAAACGATACTCGAAACTCGATATTAAGCGGGACTCGCTCCCCTGTAAGTGTATCCAAACTGCTATGCATTTGTTATCACCAGGCTCGGTGTAATTCCGCAAGGTTATAACTCTGCAGCGCCGCGGAACCGCACCGACACTCCCTTTTTTTCGCTATAAGACGTTGCTGAATCAGCACTTATGGCGGCCCTTTCCTGATCAGCGAATCCTCCTGGCTTTTTGAAGGCGATGCAGACGAGCAGCGATTCACGAAGCTCTTCACGAACTAGAAGGTGTGACCGCAATAGGCTCGAAACTAAAATGAGAATATACCAAAGACGCACCTCTGAGCCTGAGACATGTCGATCTGCACGACCCTCCAATTGTACTCATCCTCGTAGGCACATGACTTCGTCGAGAATACGCACCAGCGATTGCACGGAGTGCTAGCATGCTATGGAAACAATAGTGAGCCAGTACTTCCACGACGCGCATTGTCGAGAACTTCGCCAAAACGATGCGAGAGCCACGTCATGGACGTATCAAGTGCGAGGCTAATTGCCGACAGGCAAGAAAACTACCATCCATAAAGATGTCACTGTTGGCGATAACCTTGCCTTTCGCGGTAGGTGATTTCCGTGACTTCCAAGACGGACGTCCAGCAAACACATTTACTATACGAAGCTTCGAATGGGTATAACTTCATACAAGAACTGGGTTGAACTGGATTGCAATTGGACACGCTGACTACCGTCATAATTGAGCTTACTTGCATAATCCACAAAATCGTAGTGTACATACTATACATAGATATATGACTGAAGGTGATCACTTAGGACGGGAATATCATTCAACCAGTAACGGAAAAAAGAACCACGGAAAGAACACAGGTATGAAACACATCAAGCGTCATGAAATAGACCTGGCTTGGAAAGTGTTTCAAAGGATGCAGCTTCGGTATCATTGCCATCTCTTCCAGCCTCGTGCTTGGCAGACATGCTGAAATCACCCATTTGTATTGTCTGGGTCTCAATCGCAACTACCATCGATGGCGTTGAGAGAGGATTGTTCTGTGTGCCTTTCCGAGTCGGCTGTGAACCGAAGGTGATTATGGACTTGAGCTCCAGCGAAGCGGGGGTTGTGGACTCTTCAGTACTGATGCGGAATAGGAAAGCGACAACCACGCTCAAGTTCGCCACGATCAAGCTAACCGATTCCTGGCAGAACAAAAGATTGAGTCTGCAATGTACTGGGACGGCTAACCGAGCTCAGAATCATACCTCAAATATGGCAGCTACGATTACTTTCAGCCCAGCATTAGCAAGTACGTAATATGCGTGGACGAGGCTGACGATAGTGGTAATAGCAGATGTCGAAAACACAGACAGAAGTCGGATTTTTTGGGCCTTGGTGAGTCTGACCCTGTAGATCAGACGGAATGGTGCTATTATTAAAATGGTGTCACTGAGCACGTCAGCTGGATGGAGCGAGTTAGACGGTCCGTCCCGTTCGTGCTGCACACAGGAGACTCACAGATTATCTGCGCAATGGCAACGTTCCTACCTATACTGCACTGCGGGCGTGATTCCGTTTTCCAACCACTCTGTACCGCACAGGTCCAAAATATTTGCGCGGCAAGGACCATCCACGCAATCAAAAACACAAAGGCGGTGCGCACTAGCATTCTCCTTAGCGAACCAGGGAAGGTCAGTCGCACGACTGTGAATAAAATCGTGATCCTGGATGACCTAAAACCATTCTGAGATGGCTCGTGGACGGAGAGACAATGTTATCGCACCAAATGACTGCATAGAAGAACTGTGCGACCCTATAAGATATGTTTGAGCATACTGTCATGTTGGTTTATAAAAATGATGCACATATAATACAATGCCACCCTTGTATCTTGAGGATATCGAGCTATCATTATACAGAGTCAGCGAGATCCGCTCTGGATGTGGCAGAAAAGACGACGCCGCATCACCGTAGTCGTGCAGATACAACCAGACTACTACCAAAAAACCGACATTGAATACCATGGCAAGCGCTGCCCAGGCATCATCCAGCCAGAGACGGCCTTGTCGCCACCGCACGAACAAACGGAACGAAGTGATCACCATCGCAGCGGCAGGCATGACCAGTCCGGCAACTTTAGATTCGTCAGTGACGTTCTATTAGAATAGTTCTCAAGGTCGCTACCTTCAGCTTGTGGGATTGATGGTTCAGAGGACGACATGTCATGTAACTTGGGAGAGAGGGGGTCGATGGGGAGGAAGGCTTAGAATACCATCCATCTTTATCTCGGATGAGGTTTTTCATAGAAAGAATATTAATTGCTTCTCTCGATTGAATCGCCATGTGCATCCGAGAAGTCAACGCCGCTCATGCTGTGCGCACCAGTTACAGCCTCCCCCTGCGATGGAAGGTTTCCGGCGTGCAGGTTCCCAAACAGGACGAGTCCCGGTAGTCTGGGTATCAGACTAAGTCCCGGCCTCACCCAAACGAGCGAGGTAAAATTCACAACTCCTTATCTCTCGCTGAGTCAGCATCAGCCCACCAAACGCACGAACAAGATCCGAACTGCACTCCAAACCTCGTCTTCAGCCATTTATCAACATCAGACATATCTTTTGGCTTGGCAAGTACAGCCGGTCTAGTCACATGTAGGACAAATATTACTTGTCTTCTCAACTTGGTAAATTGCTCGGTTCGTCGAGAAGTTCATGGACACTACAGCAACGTGAAGCTCATCAGTGATCGTTACTGTGAGGAAGTCTGACAGCCGCTTAAAATGCTTCAGCTATCCATGCCACCAGCCGTCAAAAAACTTGGAAGCTCGCACTGCATTCGGATTTCGAGTACACAGTTGCAACGCGCTCCCAATCGAGACACGTGCCACAGGGTTGGAATAAACGAGGTTGCCAGCGTGGGACTTCGCCGGCTGGTCCTCGGATCCAATCCAAACGGCGGTCGTGCTTGTGTAAGACCCGAATCGAATATCCTGACTCTTATGGGTACCCCGTGCGGTGTATGCTATCTTTATCTCCACTACATGGCAGTGTTTACGCCTACGTTCTCGGTGGTTACCATTCGTAGCGACGTGACTAACAGCGGAATTAACCTCAGCCTCGCGTTAACTTGAAGTGCCTTCTGCCCTCCGGTAAATCAACGGTGAGAGCTACGAGGAATTCCGTGTGAGCTATATATGTACAGAATTGTCAGGCTTACGGACTGAGCCTGAAGATGATGCAAGGCCACTTTTCCACTAGGTCAGCGAACCGTAACATCAGAATGTGCCTACGGCCTATTCGATCATGGACTGTCATGATATGGATATGTTTAAGGCTGCTGACCATTATGACATCGAAATCATGTTGCATCTCTTCCCCATTCCTGACGCCAACATCAGGCCAAGAATTCATCTGACCGAAGGTAACATATTGCAGTTACGGGGAGAATAGGACGGATCTCATAGACTGGTGAACCAGCGCCTGCTGATAGCCGCATTATCCGCTGACTGCCATACACAGTGTGCACTATACTGACGTGTCACATCCTGATATCCAAACTTGAGGGGTTTCCGGGGATGACTGCCCTGAGGGAGGAGATGTTGAAAAGGTACAGACAAGACATGTGGCTGTGGGTCGAAGGCGACGCCAAGATTAAGTGTCAATCCTGGGACTACACAACGACCATGATCCCCCTTTTGCGACAGCCTACCCCTACTCCCGGATCTGCTCTAGGGATGGCAGTGGTATGCATACACCACATATATACAAGAGCCTTGCGACTTTAGCGAACGATATGAAGAGGTTTCAGAGGTGTACCCGACTCCGAGATATCCAACTACGTTCTGATCCATCAATACCACTGTTCATGTTCAGGGACGAGTCTTCCTTCAGGTGGGGTCGGACGTACGTGCACTGCAAAGCATTGCTCTGTCCCTGGATTTCCCACGATGATCTGTAATTTGCAAACGGTTGGTGATGGATACCAAGGTGGCGACGATCTCGGACACCGAAGAGTACGTCTTTTCGGGAGTGGAAATAGCTATGGGAAAAGGTGTGATATGGCCAGTCGAGCATCAAGACAGTTGGAGCTAACGCGACATTCTGGCATCGTCTTAGCGCACCCGCTTTCCCAGTAGGTCAAAAACTAAATTGTGAGACCCGTACGCATATAATATATTCCAGCAGTCCATAACCACATAGTCTTATTAATAGGCTCGATGTCCAATGTATTCTGTGTCCCTCTTGAATATCTATGGAGTGAGCCACGCCGCTTAGGCACTCCTGGTCTCTCTTTTTCGTTCAAGTAGGAGTGATGGATGACAAAAATTTGAACCATCGGTATCGAGACTGGTGGTGTAAGAGGTACAGTTAGCATGCTTATGTAGCTGATGTTGCCTAAGAAACTGATATTGGTGCAGGAGCTGGGATTGCGGTACCTACTTTGGACGACATTTTGTTTTCGCGCGTACACAGTCATGTTCGTGTTTCTTTGTGGGCGTCGGGTGTCACCTATTGTGGAGGAAATAGAATTTTGGAGTTTGCATGGCGATGATGCCTCCGTGGCCAGAGGACCTGGCAAAGGAAATTGAGCTGGATGTTCGTACGTAGAGCTTTGGATCGTCGGGGGGCATGCGGAGAGAGCATGTGAAGTCGAGACTAGAATCGGTGGAGAGAACCAGGCGAAGGAGTTTGTGGACTTTGTGAACCGCCGAAATACAGACCGGATGTGTCATTTCGTTTTGATTCGAGTCCTTCCTTGACCAACTTGGGTGGAAGTGGGCAGCTTACAACCACCTCTTGAGGGCAAGGGACAATGGAAAGCCGTACCAGTGGAGCATGGGATCAACATTTATTCCGAGTGATAGGAACGCAACCAGAGGAGTGTGGTGCAGGCAACGACACTGGATGTCGATTTTATGATGTCAAGCCCATGTGACTGAAGAGTCTGGTCACTCAGGACCGGAAATATCGTTCAAGCAGAAATGGAAAAGAGAATGATATGTACCGTAGAGAAAAGGTATATGACAGTATATCAAACACATCAAGCGTCACCGAACGGACCTGGCTTGGAAAGCGTTTCAAGGGATACAACTTCGGGATCTTGACCACCTTTTCCAGCAGCTCGCGCGGGAGATGTGCTGCAACCATTCAGTCTTATTGTCGAGGTCTCGATCCCAACCATCATCGTTGGCGTTGAGAGAGGATCGAACGGCGCTCGTTTCCGAATTGGTTGTGACCCGAAGGTGATTATGGACTTGAGCTCCAGCGGAGCAGGGGTTGTGGATTCTTCAGTGCTGATACGGAAGAGAAACGCGACAACTACGCTCAAGTTCGCCACAATCAAGCTAATAGACAACTGGCGAAACAAAGGACTGAGTCTGCACTGCACTGGAATGGCTAACAGAGCTCGGAACCATACCTCGACTATGGCAGCCAAGACTTCTTTCAACCCACCATTGGAAAGCAGGTAATATGCGTGGGTTAGGCTGACGACGGTGGTTGCACCAGACGCCGAAAAAATAGACAGAAGTCGAAGCTTTTGAGGCTTAGTGAGTCTGACTTTGTAAATCAGGTGGAACGGAGCCAGTATCAAGATCGTATCACCGAGCACGTCGGCTGGATTGGGCAAGTTAGACGGTCCATCCAACTCGTGCTGCATACAATAGACTCACTAATTATCTGCGCAATGGCAACATTCCTACCTAGATCGCACTGAGGACGCGGTTGTGATTTCCAACCACTTTCTGCTTCACACGTCCAAAAGATTTGTGCACCCAAAATAATCGCCGTCATAAAGAATGCGATGGCAGTGCGTACTAGCCATCTCCTTAGCGAGCCAGGGAAAGTCATTCGCACGACCGTGAATAAAATCGAGATCCTGGACGACCTAGCACCATTCTGAGATGGCTCGTAACTGAACAGACAAGATTGTTATCTCACCAAACACCTGCACTGAAGAATTGCGTGCCCCTATAAAATGTTTTGAGCATGCTATGATGCTAATTTAAGAAAAGGTCGCACATATAATAGAGCGCCACCTTTGTATTTCGGGGATATTGAGCTATTTGCGTACAGGTTAGTGAGACTCGCTCCAGCAGAGAAGGTGACGATATCACCGTAGTCCTGCAGGTACAACCAGAGCACCACCAAAAAACCGATATTAATCATCATAGCAACTGCGGCCCATGCATCGTCTAGCCATAGACGGCCTTGTCGCATCCGCACGAACAAACGGAATGAAGTGACCACCGCCGAAACGCTGAGCAAGACGGTCCCGGCAACTTTAGATTCGTCAGCGGCGCCCTAATTAGTGCTCAAGGTCACACTACCTTCAGTTTGTGGAATTGTTGGTCCAGAGGACGACATGGTGGAGAGGGGGAGATGAAGAGGGAGGCTTAGAACACCGTACATATTTATCTCTGATGCTTTTCATTGTGCCAAGAACCACTGCTGGTTACACCGGCTTCTCAATCCGAGTGCATCGCTTGGTGGCCCGTGCATGTCGGGACCATCAACACCGTTCATACTGTGGGAATTAGTTACAACCCTTCCCGACTGCCCTCCAATTAGAAAATAGAATCATGATGAATTGAAGTCATAATACCACGCTGCTTGAGAGTTATCTGGAATCGTAATCAGTTCCAAAAACTTTGCTCGGGTCGCCAGTCGACATGTCGTGATTCTGCATCGCAATTTTGAAGTCACGTGTCACAAATCAGTCCATGCACCTCGCAGACTTCTCGCACAGCCAGTAATGATCGAAGTCCCATCACGTTCACGTACATCCCATGCCCCAGGCCGCAATATTCAATCCTCATCTTCAAGTATGTCCGTTGAGATGACGGGACTAAGTTCTACGCGGAGGTCGTCGGAAATTCGTCGTTGTCACTTGACGCACTGTCTTCGTTCACGGCCTTGGGCTTTCATCAAATGCTGTCCCAAGACTGTACCGCAGTACCCTTTCATCCCGTAGAGCATGGAGACGGGTACAGTGGTGTTAGGATCAAAAAAAATATAGACGTGAACAGATCTATCACCGACTCATCACCACCAACACCTTTGCCCTTCCTCATCGGGGCCAAGTCACTACATCCGGGGAGTAGATTTACCCATGACGCTTCCTTGATCGAGATATTGTCTAAGTTGAGCCCAATGCATCGAAACTGATGTTGCACCGCGCATGAATACTTCTCGAGCAACTTGATTCTTCTTTCAAAGTGCGTGTCTTCCTACAGTGGACTCCGGAGGCGCTGCGCATCGAAATTTGAAAAGTCGTTTTTCTTCATATATCTGAGCGATACTGTGGACTCGGTGGTCAGTTACAGTACGGTAACAACACCATACTCTACTAGCGGGTAGTACCTATGATCGGCTCCCACCTCTGAGGTCCATCGAAAAAGTTCACGAGCATTACAGCAACTTACGCGGGGCCATTAGAGCGACTTACTTGTGACATTTAAGTGCAGAAATCTAATGTCCCTTGAAATATGTTTCTTCCCAATTCAGGAGGTAAGGTCAACAAAACTCAGCGACGGAGGGAACATTCTGCTGCGCAGAGGTGCCAAGAGTTTAGACCGAATGAAGCTTGTCAGGGGGACAGGGAATGATGGAATCACGGTCACGACCAGTCAGTGACAGGTTTACACCGTCTATTCTGATGCTGTTGGCTTGGCATTTGGTCCTTGGATCAGTGGGGTCATACCAGTTACCTTGAAATTGACACGCGCAAACTCTTATCCAGACTCTTATCCCCAAGTTGCATGTCCAGTGCGACAGGGCGCCCTGCGTACTCGATACTATGTCAGGTCCATCCGAGGGGTGTGGTCACTTAGGACCAGAAATATCATTCAAGCAGTAACTGGAAAGAGAACCACGGGAAGAATACAGATGGCAGTATATAAAACACATCAAACGTCATAGAACGGACCTGGCTTAGCAATTGTTTCAAGGGATACGGTTCTGGCGTCATTTCCGTCATTTCCAGCCGCTTGCTTGGGAGAGGTGTTGAAATCATCCGGTTTTATTGTTGTGGGCTCAATCGCAACTACTATCGTTGACTCTGAGAGAGGATCGAATGGTGTTCTTTTCCGGATCGGCCGTGAACCGAAAGTGATTGTGGACTTGAGCTCTAGCGGAGCAGGGGATGCGGTTTCTTCAGAGCTGATGCGGAAGAGGAAAGCGACAACTACGCTCAAGTTCGCCACGATCAAGCTAACTGATACCTGGTGAGACAACGAACTGAGTCTGCTTTGTACTGGAATGGCTAACAGGCGTCGGAGGCATACCTCAACTATACCAGCCATGGTTTGTTTTAGCCCACCATCAGTAAGCATGTAATATGCGTGGACGAGGCTGACAACAGTGGTAACGGCGGACGTCGAAAACGCAGACATAAGTCGGATCTTTTGAGCCTTGGTAAGTCTGACTCTGTAAATCAGACGGAGCGGTGCTAGTATCAAGATCGTATCACCGAGCACGTCGGCTGGATGGAGCAAGTTAGATGGTTCATCTCATTATGCTGCACACAACAGACTTACCAATTATCTGCGCAATAGCAACGTTCTTGCCCATATCGCAGCGAGGGAGGGGTTGCATTTTCCAACCAGCTGCTGTTTCACAGGTCCAAAAGATTTGAGCGCCAAGGATCATCCATGTAACCGCAAATGCAATGGCCGTGCGTATTAGCCATCTCCTTAGCGAGTCAGGGAAGGTTAGTCGCACGACCGTAAACAAAATTGAGGTCCTGGACAACCTAAAACCATTCAGAAATAGCTCATGAGCAGAGAGAGAAGAATGTTATCGCACCAAATGACTGCATAGAAGGACTGGTCGGCTCTACATATAAAATAGATTTGAGCATGCTGTGATTGTTGGTTTGTAAAAAGAATGCACAGATAATACAACGCCACCCTTGTATCTTGAGGAAATCGAGCTATTGCAGTACTGAGTCAGCGACATTCGCTCCGGCCAAGAAGGCAGAGGCCATCACCGTGGTCGTACAGATACAACCAGCCTACTACCGCAAGAATGATGTCGAATACCATGGCAAGCGCGGCCCATGCATCGTCTAGCCAGAGACGGCGCTGTCGCGTCCGCACGAACAGACGAAATGAAGTGACCACCGTCGCAGCAATGGGTAAGACCACACTGACAACTTTAGGTCCATCAGTGACGTCCTAAATGGTTCCCAAGGTCGTTACCTTCGGTTTGTTGAATCGTTGGTCCGGAGGACGTGTTAACTTGGGAGAGAGGGGAAATAGAGAGGGAGGTTTAGAACACCATACATTTCATCTCCGATGTGTTCTTTGTAAGAATAACCACTTCAGCAGTTTCATCGGTTTCTTGATCGCATCGCGTGGCGTCGTGCATGTCAGAACCATCAATACCGCTCATACTGGACGAATTAGTGAGTGGCGTGACCGGTTATAACTCGTCCAAGCATGTACTTGTGCGGAGTTCTGCAACGAATGTCGCCAGCGCTGTACAGCCGGTGATCAAAGTACATGACGTGATGAATCCCATGGCCCTCCTGAACATCGTCCCTCTGACATTACCTGAGCGCGGCCAACTTGACAGTGTGTCAGAATCCAAGTTGTGAGACACGTACGCATTACATCCAAGCTGTCCGCGGCGGCGTCTAGATTAACAGGCCCAATATCCAACACGCTCTGTTTCCATCTCGATATCACTCCAGGACATCCATGAGGTGAATGACGCCAATTACACGCCCCGGGCTTTTCTTCCTGGTTCGGGTGGCGATGGTTCCAACGGCAACGAGTGAACGCAGAGTACGGGGCACTACTCCTGTCCTGGAGGATGTGCTTTGTTCGCTTACTTACCCAATATATTCCTGTTTCCTAATGAAGATTAGGCACTACCGAATGAAGGGGGATGTGGATTTGGAGGTTGCATGGCAAGTATTCGAAGACTCTGAGCGATAGACGAATCAAGTCTGATGATACCCTTGTAACAAGAGGTGTTGGCGAAGGTGGACGTCCGTCTATAGAACTTTGGGACTTTGAAGGAGGGAGCATGTGAAGTCGAGGCAAGAACCAGCGGAGAGGACGAAGGTTGGAGATTGTGGAGTTGATCGACCGACAAGGTATAGACGTGGTTGTTTCGATTTTGAATCCTATCCTACCGTGTCGGACTCGGGTGCATGTGGGCACCTTACGACTACGACACGCCTTCGATGGTTGCATATATTTCGCGAGTCGACTGCGAAACGGTGGCTGACTGGAAGAACCCCCGGAATCGCATGTCGGCCTCCCAGTCGTCCTTATAAATCCAGCGACATCAGTCGTCTGGGAGGGAGAGTCCTGCCAACGTTTATAGAGTTTACATATATGATGATCGGCAGCGCGAACATGCATCGAAACGCAAATAATCACGTACCAAGGCTCGTCGTTTGTGCGAGTCGGTGAGTGCCGAAAGGTGGCTGACCCGGGAAGCACCCTCGAAATCAGATGTCAGCCTCCCAACTGCCCTGATCACCTCAGCAAGCCAGTCATCCACTCCGCGCCGCTACCTTCTTCTGCAACCATTATCATCAACGTACTACGCACCTACTCCCCCACTCCCCCTACGTTACGATTGATGGACGGCGCTGAGACTCGGCTCTTCTCGTCGTGTCAACGGACACCAATGAACCTCATGTGCTCCTGGCAAACACGCTGGCCCTTCCGTGCAGGACAAGATGGAGCCCAGAAGGAGGAGGGACGAGTCGAGCAATCCTTGATCAAGCCGATACCACTGGACCATCCGTGCAGAGGTGCTCCCATTGATCGGATAGTCACATGGATATGCTCTGCTGATTGCTTGCATTTGCGAACTGCTGTCGCGGTACAGAATTTCGTCGGGTCTCAGGATAGCAAAGCTGACTGTAGAGATGATGGCAGGTTCATCGATGCAGTTCCTCAGCTGATAAGGAGCACGTTGGGCCTAAGTCCTGTGAGTTTATTGTCACCTCACCTGTATGATTCACCATATACCAACACCCTGCCTTAATTCTCAAGCGTTTCCCGTTGATGCGAAGTACCCGCTGTCGGGCTTGGTATCGTCAACGGGGATAGCACCGAGTTAGCCCATTCGCTCAACACACAGCAGCTTCGCACTGCACCCGCCCCCTGCAAGATATCGAACGCGTGATCGATGATATGCCCAGTACGCATTAAGTGTCTTCCCTGTACGACGGCTCCTGTGATACGGACGACCATTTGCGATCGCCACAGCTTACCCTTCGTGCGACGGGATTTTTTCCATTATTGCTTTCATCATTCAGTCCATTCATAGGGTGCCAGTCCGTTACCTTCCTGCTACGTAGACGGAACTTTTGATTAGGCCCTTACCGAGCCTGTGGACACTAGAGGTGCGTTTGTGGTCCCTGTATAGCCGGTGTTACCGGGTATGGAGTTGATATCTGACTACGACGCAGGCCACTACTTGCAGACATTGGCCTGGAGGATACAGTCGTGGTAGTATTTCATCCCAGGGCGAGGATAGTGGAGTTGAAGGATATGACGGTAGGATATGACGGTAGCACAAGGCACACCATCCTGCTGCTTCATTTTGCTTCGTGCACCTGTCGTACTTTTTTATGTTCGCGGATATGATGTTGGGGTGATGGGAATGGTACGTCTGAGTTTGCCGGCGAAGAGATAACGATGGAGGAGAAATGAATGTAAGCCTGGGGCACAACCTGGTTGGAGGGAGTTGAACCAAAATCGTGTTTGCAGACGTGTTGATGAAGCACGACATGATTGCTTTCGGGTTCCCTACTCCGAACGTATGTTGCAGCCTCATCATAGAGACATCTGCTGCGACCCAGGCCCAACTGAGCAGGTAGAACGCCACAAACAAAAGTTCCTGCCCGTAGGAGTCCGTAGCGACTAGTAACTCACGAACGTTCATGAACACTTTCGCGATAGAGGCGGAAGTCAGGAAATGACCACCGTTGGCTACGCATAACAAGCTAGTGGGAAGGGGACAACTTATGCTCTTTAACACCGAATACATGGATGGATGGAGTTGAATGTAATTTCAACCCAGCGTCATAACACGTTTACTGATGCCTCAAAAGTCATAGTTTCACCTCGACAGTGCTGCCGACGATTAATTAAACTGGCAGTACTCAAACACAGATCACCTCCACCTCGATCTTCGTCATCTCTAACTCATACGCAACAGCCATCGACCACTTACGGCTGCGCAAGGGCTGTGCACATATACTGTCTCGCGGTTCTATTAGGGTGTGGGTAAGTATTGTAGGGTTAGCACACTCGACCTTGCTTTCTTACCATCTCTTCATACGCTGCCTCTAATCTTTCTTGCGCTTGTCGTCTCAGTGAAATGTCTGCAAGAAAGCAGGTGCGACTACTTTTGTTCATACCAGGATCTCATGGAGGAGACAAACTCCCCAGAACGCAGCCCGGTCACTCCGTTGCTGCAGGTTTGCATGATATCTCCGCACGAATACTTGCTTCGAACTCGTTCCAGGTTTCTCCGGCTCCGGGCCAGCGACTTTCGATTGTCGTTTCTTCCTCCGAGACTTCCCACTCCCTATCTTTTCCTGATGACTCTAACTCCCTTCAGATAACTTCACGTGTGGTAAAAGAAGCGGCCGGCATTATCCCAATTGCTGGTGCGGAAGTCGTATCATAGTTAAACCCCCTCGCTCACGACAGAGATAGCTGGATGTTCAAACGAGGTTCAGTGTTATCCTTCTGTCTACCAGATGACGTTGCATGCTTACCCAGTCATTCCCGAGTAATTCTCTCTTTTGTGATCCAAAACGGGAGTTAGTTTAGGGTTTGCGACTGCTTGCCTTTCTGCCTGGCGGACTCTTCGAAAATGGAAATAGCTATGGGAGAAGTATTTTGTAATACAGCCAGTTGACTGTTGAAAATAGTTGGAGATAACGCAACCTCCGGACATCGTCTTAGCGCAACCACTTTGGCAGTGGGTCAAATATCAAACTGTGAGACCCGTTCGTAATATATCCCAGTCGTCTACAACTGCAGCGGCTTATTAACAGGCACCATGTCCAACACGCCCCGCGTTCTCGATATATCTACACACGAGGTGAGCAACGCCACTCATGCGCCCCCCCTTCTGTCTTTCTGTCTCGAGTGGGGAGGATATCTCCATCGACAAGTGCCGAGAGTTTGAACTACTAGAATCAAGATTGGCGGTGTAAGAGGTACTGTTAGCGTCCTCATGCTGACAGTCGCAGGAAACTGATCTTCCGGTGGAAGCTGCAGTTGCTGGACTGCTCTGTACGACACTTTTTTTTTTGGCGCTTACCCAATCATATTCAGGTTTCTTGCTGGGTGTCAGTTGTCACCTAATGTGGAGGAGGCTGCATGGTACGCATGCGAACTTGGTTTCGAGTGACAGCTGAACCTTGATGCCTCCACGACCATAACCATTGGGGCCTGGCGAAGGCAATGACACTGTGTACGTAGAGCTTGGAAAGGGTGAAGGGGGCGTACTAGTAGAGCATGTGAGGTCGGGACTGGAATCGGTGGAGCGAACGGAGAATGGAATTTGTAGACTTTACGAACCGAAGACATATAGACGGGATGTTTCCCTTCATTTCGAATCTTCCTTGTCCGACTTGGGTGCAAGTGAGCAGCTCACGACCAGCCTTGGAGGGAAAGGGAAATGGACCCTGCCAGTGGATCATAAACTGAACACTTGTTTCGAGTGATAAGTCCGTAACTACAGGGGGCTGGCGAGGGCAATGACGCTGGATATCGATGTGAAATACATGTAACTGAAGGGTGTGATTAGCTTAGGACGGGAATATTGTTCAAGCAGCAACAGAAAAGAGGATGTCAAGTGCCAGTGGGAAAAACGCAGATGACAGTGTATCGAAACATGTCAGGCGTCATGGAACGGACCTGACTTAGCAAGTGCTTCAAGGGATACAGCCTCAGCATCATTTCCGTCTCTTCCAGCCACTTGCTCAGGGGACATGCTGAAATCGTCAAGTTGTATTGTCGTGGTTTCAATCAAAACCACCATTGTTGACGTCGAGAGAGGATCGAGTTCTGCTCTTTTCCGAGTCGGCCATGAGCCGATGGTGATTATGGACTTGAGATCCAGCGGAGCAGGGGTCGCGGTTTCTTCAGTGCTGATGCGAAAGAGGAAAGCGACAACTACACTCAAGTTCGCCACGATCAAGCTAATTGATAACTGGCGAAACAAAGGATTGAGTCTAAACCGCAATAGAAAGGCTGACAGAGCTCAGAACCGTACCTCAACTATACCAGCTATGAGCTCTTTCAGACCACCATTAGAAAGCACGTAATACGCGTGGGTGATGCTGACGATAGTGGTAACAGCAGACGTCGAAAAGACAGACAGAAGTCGGATCTTTTGGGCCTTAGTGAGTCCGATTTTGCAAATCAGACAGAACTGGTACTAGTATTAAAATCGTGTCACCGAGCACGTCGGCTGGATAGAGCAAGTTAGGTAACCCACTGTATCCGTGTTGCAAATAACAAACTCACTAATTATTAGCGTAATAGCAACATTCCTACCTAGGTCACACTGAGGGCGTGGTTGCGATTTCCAACCACTTTGACCTTCACAAGTCCAAAATATTTGTGCGCCAAGGACGATCCCTGTAACCAAAAATGCCATGGCAGGTGCATACTAGCAATGTCCTTAACGAGCCAGGGAAAGTCAGTCGCACGACCGTAAATAATATTGAGATCCTGGACGACCTAAAGCCAATCTGAGATGGCTTGTGACAAGAGAGAGAAGGTTGTTATCTCACCAAACACCTGCATAGAAGAACTGCGTGCCCCTATGAAATACTTTTGAGCATGCTATGACACTAGGTTGTTAACAGAATGCACATATAATATAACACCACCTTTGTATCCTGGGGAAATTGAGCTATTGTAGGGCAGAATCAGCGAGGTTCGTTCTAGTAGAAATGATAGCACAATCACCGTAGTCATGTAGATACAACCAAATTGCTACCAAAAAACTGGTATTGAATACCATAGCAAGCACTGCCCATGCATCGTCTAGCCAGGGACGGCGTTGTCGCATCCGCAGGAAAAAACGGAAGGAAGTGACCACCGATGCAGTGATGAGCAAGACGGTAGCGATAACTTTAAATTCATCAGTGGGGTCCTATGGAATGGCTCTCAAGGTCGGTACCTTCGGTTTGCTGTATTGTTGGTCCAGACGACAACATGTTAGCTTGGGAGAATGGAAAGATGGCCCGGGGGAGGGAGGCTTAGAACGTCATACATTTTTATCTCTGATGTGTTTCCTTCTAGCGAGAACCACTTCCGGTTCCACCGATTTCTTGATTGGATCGCCTGGCTCCATGCATGTCGAAACCATCGACACTGCTGCATTCCGGGCCAATCGATTAGTACAGCTCCCTCCCTTCTAATCAGAATCATGATGAACTGAAAATCATTGAGCACTATCTGAGATACTGGTCTATCATAACCAGTTTAAAAGCTATTGATCGGCTGATGACTTCAATTGCTCGATTTATAGATAGCTTTTTCCCCACTCACGGTTACAATAGACATTTAGGGTCTATTATAGCGCCCCACCCTTCTAGGACCGTAACGGAGGAGAAAACAAGCTCGATTTGTCAATATGCATGTTATGATTCTGCGTTGCTGAGCGTCAGTTTGGAATCACAGGGCACTGACCAGTGGATGGCCTTGGGCTTTCATCAATTGTCTTTGATCGGAAGCTGTTTGCTACAGCATCCCTTTCACACAGCACAAACACGGATGAGTGGATCGAAGATACTATTACTGATGTAGTTATGCTGTGTGACGCCTGGAGGTGGCTGCACAGTACAGCAGGTGTTTTAGGATCCACGCATTTGTCCTTCCGCATCAGGCAGAATCCCCACATCCAGGAAGCAGATCTGCTCCCTCGGAAACATGCGGAGTGCCTCTGTGAGATGTTCAACGACTGCGTCGAAACTCATGGTACACTGTGAATGTATATTTGCTTCTCGAGCAGCATGGCTTCCCTTTAGCCTGGATCGAAGTACGTATGTACATTCGTATGGTGGAGGTACCGCATTCGGCGGTGAGCTAAATCACCAGTATGCTCATGTTCTGTTCCTCCCTCCGAGGTCCACGGAGAAAGTTCACGGGCACAGCAACAATTTGGGCGGGGCCATCAGAGTTACTCACTGTGAGCTATTGTAAGTGATTAGATCTGATATCATTTGAAATGTATCTCAACTATCCATGCCATCAACTGCCAAGGAGCTTCGAGTGATAATTCCACCCTAATTTCATCATCCACCGGTTGAACGTAACACACTTCCACAATCCGGGACCCTCGTCTGCTCTAGGTAGGTCCTCTCCGCAGTCGTATGCATACGTCGCATATGTACGAGAGCCTTGGGACTCTAGCGAACGATGTAAAGAAGTTCCAGAGGTGCTCTTGGCACTGAGTATGATGCTGGCTTCAAGATATCTAACTACATTCTGATCCATTGACACCGCTGTTGAGGGACGAGTCTTACTTCAGATTGGTTTTGACATGCGTGCACGACAAGTCACTATCCCGTTCCCAGATTCCCTGTGATGGCCTGTAATTTGCAAATAGCTGGTGATGAATAGCGACTAGTCCGTCCTTTCGGGCGTGGAAATAGCTACCGGAAAAGTAAGTTGTAATACAGCCAGTTGACCGCTGAAGATCGTTGGAGCTAACGCGATGTCCTGGCATCATCTCAGCACAGCCGCTTTTCCAGAGGGTCAAAGACCAAATTCTGAGGCCCGTACGCATATAATATATCCCAGCTGTTCATAACAGCAGGGTCTTATTAACAGGCTCAGTGTCCAACACATTCTGCGTCCTTCTCGACACTACTTAAGGATATCTATGAGGTGAGCAACGCCACTTAGGCACCCCGAGTCTCTCTTTCCGGTCCAAATAGAGATGATTCCTCCGGAAATGGGTGACAAGAATTTGAACCATTAGCATCGATGCTAGTGGTGTAAGAGGTACGGTTAGTGTCCCCATGTGGCTGACGGTATGCAGGAAATTGAGGTTGCAGCAGGAGCTAGGATTACGCTACCTAATTTGGACATTTTGTTTCCGCGCTTACACAGTCTTTTCGTGTTTCTTTATGGGTGTCGTGTGTCACCCAATGTGGAGGAGATGGAAAATTGGACATTGCATGGTGATGGTGCCTCCGTAACGAGAAGGCCTGGCGAAGGAAATGGAACTGGATGCCCGTATGTAGAACTTTGGATCGTCATGGGGCGTGCAGAGGGAGCGTGTGAAGTCGAGACCAGAATCGGTGGAGAGAACAAGGGAAGGTGTTTGTGGACTTGTCGAACCACCAAAGTACAAACAGGATGTTTCCCTCTTCGTTCCGAACCTTCTCTTGTCCGACTTGGCTGCAAGTGGATATCGATTTCATGATGTCAATAACAATGATGTGACTGAAGTGTCTGGTCACTCAGGACGGGCATTATGGTTCAAGCAGTAACGGAAAAGAGAATGGCAAGTACCACAGGGAAAATGCAGATGACGGTATACCAAACACATCAAGCATCACAGAACGGACGTGGGTCGGAAAGCGTTTCAAGGAATACAGCTTCGGCATCTTTGTCGTCTATTTCAGTAGCTCGCGTAGGAGACGTACTGAAATCATCCAGTATTATTGTCGTGGTCTCAATCTCAACCATCATTGCTGACGTTGAGAGAGGATCGAGCGGTGGTCTTCTCCGATTTGGCGGTGAGCCGATGGTAATTATGGACTTGAGCTCCAGCGAAGCGGGGGTTGTGGATTCTTCAGTGCTGATGCGGAATAGGAGAGCGACAACCACACTCAAGTTCGCCACAGTCAAGCTAATCGACAACTGGCGAAACAAAGGATTGAGTCTGCGCTGTACTAGAATGGCCAACAGAGCTCGAAACCATACCTCGACTATGGCAGCTAAGATTTCTTTTAGCCCACCATCAGAAAGCAGGTAATATGCGTGGGTTAGGCTGACGATGGTGGTTGCACCAGACGTCGAAAAGATAGACAAAAGTCGGCTCTTTTGAGCCTTCGTGAGTCTGACTTTGTAAATCAAGTGAAACGGAGCCAGTATCAAGATCGTATCACCTAGCACATCGGCTAGATGGAGCAAGTTAGATGGACCATCCTACCCGTGATTCAGTAGACTCACTGATTATCTGTGCAATGGTAACATTCCTACCTAGATCGCATTGAGGGCGAGGTTGCGATTTCCAACCACTTTCTGCTTCACGCGTCCAAAAGATTTGTGCGCCAAGGATCATCCATGTAACCATAAATGTGATGGCGGTGCGCACTAGCCATCTCCTTAGCGAGCCAGGGAAGGTCAGTCGCACGACCGTCAATAAAATTGAGATCCTGGACGACCTAAAACAATTCTAAGATGGTGCGTGACTGGAGAGACAGAATTGTTATCTTACCAAACGCCTGCACTGAAGAACTGTGTGAGCCTAGAAAATATTTTTGAGCATGATATGGTGCTAGTCGTTATCAGAATGTACATATAATATAATTCCACCTTTGTATCTTGGGGAAATCGAGCTATCGTGGTGCAGAGTCAGCGGGATTCACTATAGTAGAAAAGATGACGTTATCACCGTCGTCCTGCAGGTACAACCAGAGTACCACCAACAAGCCAATATTGATTGCCATAGAAAACGCTGCCCACCCATCATCTAACCATGGACGGTGTTGTTGCATCCGCAGGAACAGACGGAATGAAGTGACCACCGCCGCGACGATGAGCAAGACCGTAGCGGCAACTTTAGATTCGTCAGTGGGGTCATAAGTAGTTCTCAAGGTCGCTACCTTCGGTTTGTGGAATTGTTGGTCCAGACGACATGTTAGAGAGGGGGGGAGGTGGATATGGAGGCTTAAAACACCCGCACGTCTTTATCTCTGGTGATATTATTTGTAGCAAGAACGACTTCTAGCTCCGCCGGTTTTTCGATGGAACGCCGTGCACCTCAGAACCATCAAAATAGCTCATACTGCGGGAATTAGTTGCCGCCCTTCCCTTCCAACCAGAATCGTGATGAATTGGAGTCACCATACCGCAATGCTTGAGGATTATCTGGGGTGCTTGTTCTGTGATAAGCAGTTCGAAAACTTTACTCGGTTCGCCAGCATGTCATGATTCTGCATCACTATCAGTTTAGAGTCACATGTCACAAATTAGCATGCACCTCGCAGACTTCTCGCAGAGCTGGTCATGATCAAAGTACATGAATTCCACCGATGTTGCGCCGTGGATGAGTATTTGCTTCTGGAGTAGTTTGGCTCCTCTTTTAGTCTGGATTGACGTACGTGCGAGAGTCTTACTGTGGAGGTTAGTACTGGGTATCGAAATTGGAACATCATTCTTCTATCTGATTAATGTTACAGGCTCGGTAATCACAAAAATATCACCATGTATGTATACCCTACAGGTGAGTAGTAAGTTCGCAAGCACCACGGCAATTTGGACGAGGTCAGAGTTGCTTCCTGTGGCCTAGTGCATCTGGTGGCACTTGAAAACGTGTTTCAGCTATCCATGCCTTCAGGCCGCCAAAGCTCGCTAAGGTACTCAGACTTCGGGTGATAACTATCAGTTTGGTTTGTTCCACCGGCTCAACGCAACGCACTAGGTTCCCTAATCCTAGAGATAAGATCAACAAAACTCAGCGATGGAGTGAACGAGGCACGGGGATGATCAAATGAGGCTATTGGCTTAGGGTTTGGTCCTTGGGTCACAAGGTAGAGGTAGCGGTTGTCTATGTAGTATCCAGGTCAACCTTTACCTAGCGCAAATAGGGGGGCCTGTGTATGAGAAGTGTTTGGACTGAATCGCAGCTGCTAGAGCGCTGTCTACGACTCTCTTGGTGTCAATTTCCTTAGCAAAATCTCGGTGTCTTCTGCCGAAGTTGCTGGTAGCATTAGTTTGGTTATGCCAACGATGTCAGCCTCCCCTCGCATAGAAATTCGAGACACTGGCTGCCCAGCGTGCCCGCTCAACTGACCGATCTGCGTGCGGTCTATGCTGCCAGAGAAGCCACTTATTCTACCTGCAGGCAATTCTCATGTAGGAGAGTAGCAAGTGATGCCTTTCCCATGATTTCACATTGCCTGGCCCATACTAACCCGCTACATCCGACGACTGAAACAGTACGAGATGAGGCACATCGGATGCGACGTCATGATCGCACGTCTTGCCTTGCGCGACTCCGTAATGAGAAGAAGAGCAAATTGGCCAGCGTGTCTTGCAGGTGGAGAAACGCAGTTCTCGCGCGTCTGACCACCTTCTGATCACATGAATATGGTACGTCTCGCCACGACAGTACCAGAGTTAAATAGGGGAGATTCGCTCGAAGTGATAGTCGCTGCTTCGGGATCTCGGCAAATCTCCCATTCGCACGAGGTCCTCCAGGGCGACGATTATATTTACCTTGAACCCCAAAGAGTCCGTTGCCTCCGGTGTGGAAGCAGGTATGAATGAGATAAGTTACAATTCTGTCAGCTGACAATCGAGGATAATTGAAGCTAACGCGTCCTCCTAACGTTACCTTAGCGCAGCCGACTTGACAGTGGGTCAAATCCCGAATTGTGAGGCACGTGCGCATTACATCCAAGCTGTCCGCAGCGGCAACGTCTAATTAACAGGCCCGATATCCCACACGTTCCAGGATACCCATGGGGTGGCCGATGCCTACTAGACGTCCCTGGTCTGTCTTCCTGGTTCGAGTGGGGATGGTACCACCGGCAAGGCCACTCCGCCTATTCCGGAGGATATGCTTTATTCTCTGACTTACCTAATCATATTATAGGCGGCAGGCACCACCGAATGCGAGGGAGATGTGGATTTGAAGATTGCATGGTACGTACTCGAAGATTCTGAGTGATGGATGAATCAAGCCTGATGATACCTTCGTAACAAGAGAGGTATTGCAAAGGTGAATGTCCGTGCGACGTTGAATAAGGGAGCATGCGAAGTAGAGGCGAAAATCAGTGGAGAGGAAAGGTTGGAGATTGTGGAGTTGATGAACCGACGAGGTATAGATGTAGCTGCTTCGTTTCGTTTCGAGTCTTATCCTATCTTATCCGACCCGGGTGCATATTGGTAGCTCACGACCACGACTGACCTTCGAGGGCAAGGGCGATAACGGAGAACCCTACTAATCGTCGCATTTCGCAAGTCGACTGCGAAACAGTGGCTGACCAGAACAGCCTTCGGAATCGGATGTCGGCCTTCCAGTTGTCCTGATAAACGTAGTGCATCAGTCGTCTCGGAGGGGGAACCCTGCCGACGTTTACAGACTACATATAATGATCGGCAGTGCATACATGCATCGAAAATTGAATGACCACGTACCAAGTCTCGTCGTTTGTACGAGTCGAGTGAGTGCCAAAGGGTGGCTGGCCCTAAAAGTACTCCAAAAATCAGATGCCAGCCACCCAACTGACCTTATAACTTCAGCACGCCAGGTGTCCGCCCCGCCCACCCACCTTCTTCTGCAATTACTATCATCAATGTACCACGTACGTACTTCTCTCGTCCCGGCTACGACAAGATTGATGGACGACGCCGAGTCCCGACTCTTCTGGTCGTGTCAACGGACGCCAATGAACCTCGTGCCATGTACTCCTGGGAAACACGCAGGCCTTTCCGAGCTGGACAAGATCGGGAGGTGGAGCTCGGAAGGCGGAGGGACAAGTGGAACAATCTTTGACCTAGTCGATACCTCCGGACTATCACTACACAGGTACCCCCGTTAGTCCGACAATCACATAGAAGTGCTCTTTATTCCGATACCTCTCGGAAATAGTAAGTTTGGTTGTAGGGATGTCAGCGGCGTTATCAGTGCTGTTCCGCAACTGAAAAGGAGTACGTTGGGCCTAAGCTGCGTGGATTTGTTCTTATTTCTGTCCAGAAGATATCTGACCTCTGTGATGCGCCACGCGCCAACATCCTACTTCAATTCTCTAGCGTTTCCCGTTGATGCGAAGTATCCGCATTTGGCTTGGTATCGTTAATGGGGACAACACCAAGTTAGCCCACCCGTTCGACGCGCATCCGCCTCTGGCAAGGCAATGTGAACGTGATCGGTGACTTCCCCAATACGCCGTGAGTGCCATCCAAGGATAACGGCTTTCAGGATACGGACGGCCATTTACGATTGCTACAGCTCATTCTTCGTGCGTTGTCACGGCGTCTTCCATTGTTGCATTCATAGTTTAGTCCATCAATAGGGTGCAAATTCATTATCTTCCACTGCGCATGCAACTGCACTGAGGGATACATTGGGCGAACTTACCGAACCAGTGGGACGCAGAGGTACGTTTGTGGTTTTTGTGTAGGTGGTGGCATTGGGTAGGGAGCTGGTATCCACGACTACGGCGCAGGCCACTACTCACAAATATAGTCCTGGTCGTCGCTGTCGTGACAGCGCTTTATTCGAGTTCGAAGATAGTGGTGTTAAAGGACGTGGCGGTGGAACGACGTCCTGTTGTTCCATTATTCTTCGTGCACCTGCCATGCCTACCCATTCATGTTCACATTCGTGGGAGCGATAGTGGAGTGGGGGGCCGTGTGTCCGTGTTTGCCGGTGACGGGGTAAGGATGGGAGAGAAACGAATGTAAGTATGTGGGAGAGAAGGCTAATTGGAGGGAGTCACCTGGAGCTCCCCTTCGATGACACGGGCCCATGCATATCCTGACAAACGAGCCATGCTTATTACTAGGTTTTGCTACATCAACGCTTAGTTGGTTGTGTCTCTGCACAGGTGGATATAGATGGAGAACACGTTACAAGAGGAAATTGCGCGAGTGGCAAGAATTGGGACGTGTTGTGATGTTACTTTCTGGCAGGCACGTCGCAACCTAAGTGACGCGGAAAATGGGCAGTGGAGGTAGAGTGGTCATGACTGGGAAAGATTCTCCGTATTCGCGATGGATCGAGGGGGGTGCACATTCCTCCCGTCTGTATCGAAGTTCGTTGTGTCGAGACATGTGGATGAGTACGAGGCTGTGGACTGGGACAAAATACGTGCACACAAGGGTAACAGTGTAGCAGGCACAGGTCTCAGTTTTGACAACGTTGAACGTTGTCAACGCCGATATGTTCTGCTCTGCCTACTTTTTACACTGTAGTCTCGGGCCATGGCACCACCTCATGTGTGAACGGGTCCTTACTCCGAATTGTCCCATCATCGATCGGGGGAATTCCAGAACCGTTGATCACAGCACTGCCACCGATGTTCTAATTTCTCAAGCTCAGACCTCCAATGGAGCTCCGTGTCTGCAGAGTTACTTGATTTCTATTCATCTCCAAGATCGATATCTGTAAGAGTTGGACAATGTGTATGACGCCAGTTTTCCGACTGGGACGCAGAAAGCGTCGCTAGTGAGACGCACAACGCATGTTGGTGACATTTCAAGTTCTTTTGTCTGCGGAGTGCCTGGCTGACCTTATCATCAAGGTGCCTTGGAGAATATACGCTTGAACGGTTGGAGTCTGGTTCACTTCGGTCGAATGGCTACGTGGACCACAACATCGGCATCGCCAGAGGATACGGATAAGATACTGAATGTGATCGTAATTCCTTTCCAGGCGACTATGGGATCGACTGTCGATCTAGGGGTTGCATGATCAGCGGCCACCATCCCACCTTTGTGGCAACCTCACAGCTGCCGTGGGTATTTCATCCGCAGTTGTACACATACAGCGCATATATATGAGAGCCTTGCGATTCGTTAGAATAGCACGAAGAAGCCCTAGAGGTGCTCTTGATTCCAACTATGGTGCTAGTTTCAAGATATCTGATCACATTTTGATCCGTCAACATCACTTGTTCGGGGACGAGCCTTACTTGTGTGCACAGGAAGGCACTGCTCTGTCCTCGATTTTCTTGCAACGGTCGGCAATTTGCGTGGGTGATGGATACCACGAGAGTGACGGTCTGGCACCCCAAAGAGTACTTCGCTTCGGGCGTGGAAACAGATATGGATGTAAATTGTAATGGGGCCCGTTTCACAGTCGAAGATAAATGCAGCTAACGCGTCCACCTGTGTCCATTTCGATGTTGTTTCAGGATTTTCCGGCGCCTACTCTGGATGACGTGCTTTGTTTTCGCGCTTGCTCGATTATATTCGGGTTTGGTTGGGGGTGTCAGGTATCGCCTAACGTGGAGCATGTTGCATGGTACGTATTCGAAGGTTCCCAGTGATAGTTGAATAATACCTAACGACGCCTCCGTAGCCAGAGGGGCCTGGAGAAGGCACCGACACTGCGTACGTAGAACTTTGGGACGTCGAAGGGTTGTGCTGGGGGGGCATAGCCAATGGCGCCTCCGTAATCAGAGGGACCTGGAGAAGGCACCGGCACTGCGTGCGTAGAGCTTTGGAATGTCGAAAGGGGTGTGCTGGGGGAGCATGTGAAGTCGAGACTAGGATTGGTGGAAAGAACGGAAAATGGACTTTACGAACTGAAAACATATAGGCCGGGTGTTCCGTTTCCTTTCGAATCTTTCCTTGTCCGATTCGGGTGCAAGTAGGCAGCTTACGACCAGCCTTCGAGGGAAGTGACAATGGAGAAATCATACCAGTGGTGCATGCACTGAACGTTTATTTCGAGTGATAGGTTCGTAACCAGAAGGGCCTGGCGAAGGCAATGACGCCAGATATCGATTTCACGATGCGAAGCCTATGTAACTGGAGGGTGTGGTCACTTGGGACGGGAATATCGTTCAAGCATTAACGGAAAAGAGAATGACAAGTACCATAAGGGCACAGGTGAAGGTGTATCAAACACATCAAGCGACGTAGAATAGGCCTGGTTCAACCAGCGTTTCAAGGGATGCAACTTCGGTATGTTTATCATCTCTTCCCGCCGCCTGCTCGGGAGACACATTGAAATCATCCAGTTTTATCGTCTGGATCTCAATCGCAGCCTCCATCGTTGACAGTGAGAGAGGATCGCACTGTACTCTTTTCCGAGTTGACTGTGAGCCGATGGTGATTATAGACGAAAGCTCCAGTGGAGCAGGGGTTGCTTGTTCTTCGGTGCTGATATGGAAGAGGAAAGCGACAACTACGTTCAAGTTCGCCACAATCAAGCTAACTGATACCTGGCGAAACAAATAATTGAGTCTGCACGGTACTGGAACGGCTAACAGTGCTCAGAATCATACCTCAACCGCAGCAGCTATCACTTCTTTCAGCCCACCATCAGAAAGCACGTAATATGCGTGGGCTAGGCTGACTATGGTGGTTGCACTAGACGTCGAAAAAATAGACAGAAGTCGGATTTTTTCAGCCTTTGTGAGTCTGACTCTGTAAATCAGACGGATCGGTGCTAGTATTAGGATTGTGTCACTGAGCACATCGGCTGGGTGGAGCAAGTTAGACGATCCATCTCGTGCGTGCTACCTTCAACAGACTCACTAATTATCAGTGCAATGGCAACGTCCCTACCTAGATCACACTGAAGACGTGATCGCGTTTTCCAACCACTTTCTGCTTCACAGACCCAAAAGATTTGCGCGAAAAGGATCATCCATGTAACTATAAATGCAACGGCGGTGCGTACTAGCCATCTTCTTAGCGATCCGGGAAATGTCAGTCGCACGACCGTGAATAAAATTGAGATCCTGGACGACCTAAGGCCATCCTGAGATGGCTCGTGACCGGAGAGACCAAATTTTTTATCTCACCAAATGCCCAAACCGAAGAGCTGTGTGCTCCTATAAAATATTCTTGAGCATGTTATAATGCCAGTTTATTAAAAGAATGCACATATAATACAGCGCCACCCTTGTATCTTAAGGATATCGAGCTATTGTAGTACAGAGTCAGCAGGATTCACTCTAGCAGCAAAGATGACGCTATCACCGTAGTTGTGCAAATACAACCAGAGTACTATCAAAAAACCAATATTGAATATCATGGCAAGGGCTGCCCATGCATCGTCTAGCCAGAGGCGGCGTTGTCGCGTCCGCACGAACAAACGGAATGACGTGACGATCGCTGCAGCGATGGGCAAGACCATGCCGACAACTTTAAATTCGTCAGTGCCATCATAAGTAGTTTTCGAGGTCGCCACCTTCGGTTTGTTGAATTGTTGGTCCGGAGGACGGCATGTTATTTGGGAGAAAAGGGAGACGGGGAAGGAGGCTTAGAGTGCCATAGGATTTTAATATATGGTGTTTTTCTTTCTAGCAAGAACCACTTCTGGTTCCACCGTTTTCTCGATTGCATCGCATGGCACCGTGCATATCGGAACACATCAACAGTACTGCACACTGAACGAGTTAGTTAGTACAGCGCCCCTCCCCTCCAATCAGAATCGTGATGAATTCAAATCATACTTACCGTAACGCTTCAGAGCTATCTGGGATACTGGTCCGTCATGGTCGCTCCCAAAGTTGTCGATCAGCCGATGACTTTGCTCGGTTCTACATGAGATTATTACATAATCAAATTTTGTTTGGACTCCGCACGGAAGTTTGCCCGTCCCTGTAGATACACATGAAACTAAACTCCTAGGTAGCACCTGCTCCAACCTCCGATATCCACGGGAAAGTTCATCCACCGGTTGAACGTAGCATATTTTCCGCATCCGAGAGGAAAGATAAACAAAACTCAGCGATGGAGTGTCCCGCAGAGTGCCGTGGGGTTGGATGGATTGAGACTCAGTGTTAGCTTGGGAATTTGGTACTTGGATATATTATTCATGACCGAAGAACGCGCCCACCATGGCTGCCATGGCTATCTATCTAGTATCCAGGCTATATGCATAGTACGGTTTCTCGTTGGTGCATGTTGGTCGTGTTCTTCACTTACATTGAGCGCGGGTTCCAGTGTACACGAGAGATGCGCTCTCTGCGAACTGGTTGGCATCACCTTTCCCCAGTGCGCATAGCTAGTACATAGTCTGTACGGGAAGTGTTTGAACAGAACCACCGCTGCTCGAGTGTTGTCTGGGTGTCATTCTCCTTGGCAAAAACTCGATACGTCTTCCGCTGAAGTTGCCGATAGCATCAGTTTGGCTATGTCTGCGATGTCAGCCTCTCCCTCGCATAGAAATTCACGACACTGGCCGCCCAGCGTGCCCGCCGCTCTTCTTCCGTACAATAGCATGACTTTCTCCTTCTCTACGCTGAACGTCAATAATCCTCATGTACATCCTGGTAAATTGACTGCTCCGCGTGCAGCCCACACCGCCAGAGAGACCGTGTATTCCACCTGCCCGCGAATCTAGTCACCTAGGGGAACGAGTAGTAAGTGATCCTTTCCCAATGATTTCACATTGCCTGTCCCATGGTGGGCAGACGCAATGCCCGATACTCCAGCATGTCGGGGACTAGTGTCATCATCCTTACCCAGTGCAGCGTGCAGGTGTTGGGGTGTGTCACCTTCCGCATCTAACATAGGTACGTCCCATCACAGTTGTACGCATACAACACCCTCATATATATGAGAGAGCCTTGCGTGTCTGACCATATTTTGCCGTTCAAGTTTTGTATCGCGCACACGATTTGACGTCCACCCTGCACACCACGCCATCAAGTTCCTCCCGTTCATGCACGTCTCGCCACGACAATGCCAGAGTTACACTGTCTGGCCTCCCCACTACTCGAATTACACCGTGTCCACATGCTAGAAAAGGAAATGTATATCCTGTTACTTGTCTTGTACCTTTAGAAAGACGCGTGGTGAACGTCTGGTGAATTGCTTGCCATATCGTCGTAGCTTTCAACACTGGGCAAAGGAGCGGAAACAAGTGAGGATACACAGACGGCTTGCATGTGACCGATACACTCGCAATGCAAGGTTTGCCGGCCTTGTCAAAGCTGCCTGCGAAATGCGACTCGGTATGTGTCTGTGACGGTGCCTGTTCATCCCCGTCAGGCTGCGATGTATACCATACCAGCTGGATACGAACCGCGCTGGTAAGTTCCCACATCAGCTGTAAAGGCTGTCCGTTGTACCTAAAAACACGGGCAGACCCTTTCTGTGTGAATGCAATAAACTACCCAGTCCCTGCGAGTCCGATGTCTCACATATCCGTGTAGTTAACCCCCGGCAGTATCTGGACTACGCCTTTCAGCTCAAGGGTGAGCACCGCTGCTCTAGTCGAGGATGACTCCAGTAACGTCAGACAAGGTCCCGGTTTGATTTCTGCAGTTATAGGTGTGTCAAGGACGAAACCGGGCATATCCGTTGGAAGTTGGCGGGGATGTTGACAGACGCGATGGCAGACCTGTTGGCCACGGACAGAGTTATGGCGTGGGGGGCGTACGGTGCCTTGGACTTGATGAGACCGATCGCATGGACGATATCTGGCGTCATACGAATGCAGGAATACATCACGAGGGATATATCCTGGCGTCAACACGTCGCTGTACAAACGGAAATTGAGGAAACCCATTTTCTGGAGAGTTTCATACCTACACGACCTCGCCAGACTGGCTATCTATGCAGCTGAATGTGTCGCTATCGGTAAGCGCAAAGAGCGTCCTGCTCCCCTGGACCGAAGCCCGCCTTGTTGTGATCGTTGTGTACTGTACTTCGCGAGTTCGAGCGTAGGCAGGGTTGTGGAGGCGATGATCTGGGTGAGGGTGGCCTGTAGATATGTCGAACATGCACAGAGTGGACTGACCAGGTCCAGAGAGCAATGCGAAGCCTGCAAGCGGTGTCTAGTGCATAATGAAGCACTAGACGACAGCGACGTACTTGAGCCGTTGTCGTGGGTGCCCCTCGATGCCCGCAACGAGCCAGAACTTCCACTGAACATTATGCTACCCAGTGCCCACCTAATAATCCGTCTGTAACATTGAGTGCAAGGAAGATATTGCTGGCTATCGCCTTAATGATGAGAGTTGGTCTTGAGTGGAACCCAGACGGGCCTGGAACACCAGTCGACCACGCCGACATCGGATTCGTGCATTGCCCAACCGGCCTCCACTAATGACAGTGACGTGACGAACAGCCTCAAGTGCAGCACTGAGTCAAAGTAAGAATTTTTTTCAGCGCTTCAACTTCGAGGATACGTATCGACAATTTAGGCGCCGCAAGTTTTGATGGGTGAGATGTTTGCGGGCGACGGTATTGCAGTTGCATTACATCTGACCTCTCCCATCTCACTAGGGTGGTGCCCATGTTGACGAGCCTATTGATGGACGTGAGACAGGGGTGCGACCCAGATTTACTTTATCATCGCGTGAGGCCTTGGTTTTGCAGGCAGATTCAGATTCAGATTCAGATCCTGCTGAGAGAAGGGCTCAGGGTATCGGCGAATGTGAGGACATGGTGGAGCTCAAAGATTTGGCGAGACCGAGAGTGGGGCAGAGGGCATTTGGTGCATGCGGTGGACAATTCTCTGGGATTGGATCGTTGTAGATCCGTCACCAGGTCTTCCCACGACACGTTTCCGCCAACCCTTGCCCTGTGCATGATGTCGTGCAGACGAAAACCGGATCTTGTGGAGTTCAGGGATCATTACCGAGACCTGCACTGCCAAAGTCGTCATCGACATCCAGACCTTGAAGAACACGACATGACTGTGGTCGCGTAACTGATCCATATCGAGATAGCCTGAGGAACGTGAAGGCCATATGTTGGGCGTCGTGAGCAAGTTTACAAAGCATCGTTCTTCTCCTCTCTAAACTACAAGACAGACTGTGTTAGCGAGCTTGTTAGCGATAACGATGGGTGCGTACCAGCAGGCGGACAGGCTGAGGCGGGCCCACTAACAGTTCGCTGCTGTGGTTAAGATGTGAAACGAACCGAAATCGGATCTCAGAGCGAAGTATGGGGAGTCGCCTTTGCGGGCGAAAGTCAGGTCGTAGGGGGATATAGGAATGGCGAATTGCGTCGATGGAATATTGAAGACGGACAGCAACAGGGTCCAACCATGAGAGCGGGTGGCAGTGTCTGGTCTGTTGTCGTATCCCACGATGGCCGGTGGATCGTGACAGGAGACGACAGACACAAGGCGATCCTCTGGAATGCAGCCACTCATGAAAAAGTGCGCGAGTTCAGAGAACACAGCTGCATTATAAGTGGGGTCGATATCTCGAGCGACGGTACTCAACTTGCCACTGCGGACTGGAGCGACGTCCAGATATTCAGCATCTCTTCTGGCGAACGACTCCTCCCCCGCCTCCCACACAGTCACGTTGATGATGTCAAGTTCTCTCCGGACGGCACTCGATTTGCTGCTGTCTCGGGAATACAAGGTTTCCGTGTCTACAGCACTGACAATGGCGGTATCTTGTTCGATTCAGGTGAAAGCGGTGACCTCAGCCAATATTTGGCCACTCCGTTGGTCTGGTCGTCTGATGGCCAACAACTGTTCGTCGCGAACAAAGGCAAAATTATCTGTCACAACCTTTCCAGGTCTTTTTCCGCAGAATGGTCGATCCACGAAAACCAATCTCCGGTATTTATAGCATCCGATGGCAGATTCATTGCATGTGCCGCAGGGTCATCGGTTTCGCTATGGGATTGCATGTCCCACAAGCAGATCGGTAAAATTATCTCACACACCGCAAAGGTCGAATGTGTCGCTCTCTCACCAAGCGGGCGGTATCTTGCATGTGGAAATAGCAAGAATATCACAATTCACGATCTCCGAGATGTCCTTTCACTTGAGTATATCATCCATAGCGTACGTGTACATCCACTCATGAAGCTCGTTTCGCTAACAATCATCATGCTAGTCTTGTGCCCTACATAACACTTTAATCTGTCGTCAACTCTGCGCTTCTCAGCTTCCACTCGTAGAAATGGGTACCAAGACCTTCCGGTTATGGATGCAGAACGACCCGATGCAAACCGAACTACTACTCTCAGAGGAGATTGCGAGCACTTCTAGCCCTAGCCACTACGTTCTAGCAAACCGCGCGCTTATACGAATACGACTGAAACATTTGTCACCTGCAATAGAGGACGTCAAGGAGGTGAGTCCGCTTCCTCGCCTGTATGTGTATGGTTGCTCCCACGCACTTCAAGTCCCTCCGGATTCGGCAATCACCGATCGGCCATATCGTGATGGCAGTTGCTCTACTTGCCCAGGGCGATCGAGAGGGTGCACTATGCACGTTCGACCTTGCCTTTCATGATTGTGAGCCTCGAGATATTAGATTTCTATTACTACTGAAGGTGCGTGAGGTGATCTAAATTGTTCTCACGATTGATTTACGTTTCAATCAGTATATTCTTGTGTTTGAATCTGGAAATCAAGAAGACGCGATAATACGTGTAGAGTACCTTGCCACGATAGTGAAGAGGGACGACGACGACGATGCCACGTACCTTTACAGCCAGGCATGTGCCTCGTGTGATGTAGACATAAGCAACACCTCTGATACAACCTGCAGGTCCTTGCAGCTATGTACACTAAGAAGGGAGATTATCGACGTGCAATATCATTGATTGAGCATACAAAGAACCTAGCCCGCATGGACAAAGAATGTCCTCCGCTAGTGACCATCTCCCTCGTAGGTCTTTTGCTGTTACTATCTATTAACCTGACCGTCCATAAAGATGTTTGGGTGGAGTTTTGATGGACTTGACGCGGTTGCTCGGCAGCGTCTGTGTGAAACCCTTTATGCTGAAAAATGTGTAGCTGAAGCCGTAGAGATCCTCCTCGACATCATCGGGACATCGGACAAAGAGATTCGAGAGGGAAAGGCAAACGTGGGCTGGGTTGAAGGTATTTTTTATAATTCCTAGCCCAGTTGTCATGCATATTCATGTCCGTCCCCAGACTTTACCAAAAAATGTGCTGCCACACTTGAGCATATTGGTGATGAAGCCTTCGGATCTGCACAACATGACGACGCAATAACGCAGTACTCTGCTGCGTTGTCCCTCAAGCCTCCAAGTCCTGCGGGTCTGTTCCTTAAGCGGAGCAGAACCCGTGCGGCAAAAGGATTGTGGGAGAATGCACTGCAAGATGCAAACGAGGTATGCACGGTATCCCTCTTGTACGGGTCGGTTCCCCACAATTGCTGTATAGGCAGTGAAAGTGGACCCCTCCAATCCTTTGGGTCATGAGGCTAAACACGCAGCACTTCATGGAGCACAACGGTATGATGAAGCAATTGATGCCTTCAAGTCTATGTTGCACGTAATCGAACAGTCCCATGATCCTGTAATCAGGGGTATGTACCTCCCGTGTGAATCTGATACCCACAAATGACAGTTTTACAGAACTGCGCAAGAACTACATTTCTCCATCCGAGATAATTGCAACTATCGATCTTGTCGTCCATGGGATCCTCAGAAACTGTCCCCTTGTTGTCATTGATGTCAATACTGGCTGCCTTTGTGATGGTCCTGAGCGGATGTGTCTCTTCAAGGCCCATCCATTGTTCAAAGAGCTCGTTTCGTCCATGACGAGAGGAGTGGAAAACGAGCCCGTCCTACGTGTGGTTTCAAGTTTTTTCGAATATGTCATGCTCTCGCACGTTTGGCAGGGCCTGAACGAGCCGTCATTCCAGGACATCAAAGTTGAATTCAAATCCGTATGGGACCTTCCGGACACGCCGCTGAATGAGAAGTTGCGCAATTTCTGCCAGGAAACGCGCAGACTTGGTTACCGTTGGGCGTGGTCAGATACATGTTGTATCGACAAGTCCATGGACGTCATCCTTAATCACTCTCTTATGTCTATGTACAAGTGGTATGCAGATTCGGCAGCCACACTCGTATTCCTTGCCGACGTAGCGCATCCGTCCAAGCCCAGGGACCTTGCACATAGTGTCTGGATGACACGAGCTTGGACTTTACAAGAGCTTCTCGCACCGAACGTCATCTTTTTCTACGACTCTGAATGGGAACCATACCTCGGCGATACTGACTCGAACCATAAGGAATCTCCGGAGATCATGGAAGAACTGGCAGACGCCATCAAGGTTTCCGACGAAACCATCGTTACATTCTCTCCAGACGATCTCGGGGTTCGCGAGAAACTCCGTCTTGCTTCGACGCGCAATGCAACAGTCGAGGAGGACATCGCATACTCTCTCATTGGCGTATTCAAGTCTGAAATCAGGCCTCACTACGATGAAGGAGCAGACGCTCTCGGACATCTTCTGGAGGAGATTGTGGATCGCTCTGGCGAGGTCACTGTGCTTGCATGGTCAGGGAAGTCGTCGCCATACAACAGTTGCCTGCCGGCTTCCCTTCCCGTCTACAGCCAAACACCTTACAGCCCTCCATCACTCGATGCAGGAGAAATGGAAACATGCATCACAAAGCTACGTGACAAGTTCCCCAGAGAAGAAGCGCGCAATACATATAGTAAGATCAATTGTCTTCCCCCCGCCCGTTTCGCAGCCCGACGTCTGCACCTTCCTTGCATCGTCTTCTCTGTGAGAAGTCTTGAGAAACCGTGCGGGGGCAATGAAAAGTTATATCGTGCCCGGGTATCGGGGCTTGGCCAAGTGGAGTTCGTGACCGCAGACCAGCTCTTGTTGAATGGGACACAGAAATTCATCTTTGCGTATCCGTGGATCGATCATATCCGAGGTCCTAATGGCGGGGTTACTCGGGGAGATGACTCTGACTCGGATGAAGACGTGCCGTCGCACGCTGTCCACATGGCTCAGGTTGACAACTATACCCGGGCACTGGAGATGATTGCTCGCCTCGGACAGCCGTTCAACGCGTTGCTTCTCGTACAGCAGTCGAATGGAACGTATAAGAGGGTCGCTGCCGATCAGGAGATTGTCGTCTCGGGACTCGGAACCAACATTACCTCCAAGAACATTCGAGTGAAAGTACTAGAAGTCCTTTGAAGTATATGCGGGGAACTGCTAGCTGTTACATCTGCTCTGTATTTCTTCCTTTAGCGGTTATTTTTGTAGTCGTATTTTTGTGCCATTTTCGTAGTCTTTTTTCATCGTCCTCATCATACCCCTTCGGACGTCGTCACATCTGTTGTATATATGCGTGGTCCTATCCAAGCCAACTAAGGCTATCCATCACCCAACATGACTGACACGATATATTGACCTAATACGTGTTCCACAGCAACGCCAATAATTCATTGTCCAGAACCCTTTGGAGGATGTGCCCCATCCTGCGTCTTACCCGATCATATTCTCTAATGGGTGTCACGCGCCGCCGAATGTTAGGGAGATGGGGATTCGATGGTTGGATGGTACGTATTGAAGGAGGCTAGAATCTGTGGAGGGAATAGACGTTGAAGTTAACGAACCGGCCAGGTATAAATGTGGATGTCCTGTTTTATTTCGTTGTGAATCCTTTCCTACCTTCGATTCGAGAGCAAGTTGCGACAGCCGTCGAGGACAAGGATGACAATGGAAGGCCCTACCAATGGTTGTTTGTTATACATACGTCTAAGCGCCTTCGGAATCGAATGTCGGCCTCCCAGTTCGCGAGTCATCTTAGAAGGGGGATCCTACCGACGTCTCGTAGACTGGACGCATCAAAACTAGTAGTTCGAACATGCATTGAAGCTTAGATGATCACGTACCAAGTCCCGTCCCTTCGGCAGGCCGGCAGCCAAAGGGTGGCTGACCAGGAGAGTCCCCCCCGAAATCAGATGTCAGGATCCCAACTGCCCTTATAAATTCAGCACGCCAGCCGTCTACTCTGCCCGCTAGTCCTCCTCAATAATCATCAGCCGTACTGTGCACCTACTCTCCCGCACCCCTCTGCATCACGATTGATGGACGATGCCGAGCCCCGACTCTTCTTGTCATGTCCACGAACCTCATGTACTCCTGGCAAACGCGTTGGCCCTTCCGAAGAAATTATCGATGGAGGGACGAGAGGAGCGGTCCTTGGCTTACTCGATGCCATCCTGCACAGGTATCCCAGTAAGTCGGATAGTCACATGGATATACTCGCCCGGGCGTACGCATTTGCAATCCACTGTTGTGGTACAGAATTTCGATGCGTCTCGGGATGCTGAAATTGATTGTATGGGTGTCGGCAGTTCCATTGATGCCGTTCCGTTGCCGAACGCTGGACCTACATGAGCCACGTGAGTTTGTCGTTATCTCACCCTGGACGACATCGCACCTACATGATACGCCATATACCAACACTCTACTTCGATTCTCTAGCGCTTCTCCGTTGATGCGAACTGTGCGCTTTGGGCTTATTGTCGCCAGCGAGACACCAACAGGCTAGCCCACTCGCTGGGCATCCAAGGATTTCACACAGTGCCTGCCCCCCAAGGCAACGTGAACGGGATTGATGACGCGCCCGTATGCAATTAAGTGGATTCTCTCGGGACGACAGCCTCCATGATACGAACGACCACTTGTGATCACCGCTGACTTACTCCTCGTGCGTCGTCGTGGTTGTTTCCATTCTTGCTCTCATCGTTAAGTCCATTGATAGGGTAGCAGTCCGTTTCCATCCTCCGCAGACACAGCTTTTTCGGGTATTTTTCGAGCTTGTAGGATTAGAGGTGCGTTTTGTAGTGCCTGTGTAGTTGGTGGTACTGGGCAGGGAACTGATAACTTCGACTACAGCGCAGGCCATTACTCACAAACACTGCACCGGAGGCCGCCGTCGTGACAGTGCTTCATTCGAGCGAGAAGACAGTGGAGGTGAGGGATATGACGGTAACACAAGGCCCACCATCCTTCTGTTTCATTGTTCTTTGTGCAGTTGTCGTTACTTATCCAATTATATTCATATTCGAGGACACGATGATGGGGTTATGGAGATAGGACGTCTGAATATGCTAGCAAAGGGATAAGGAACGAACGTAAGCATGACGGAAATCTTAATCTTTTGATTTGGTAGAATCGAATTAGTCTACATTCCTACTCCGATAACGTTGCAGTCGTAGAGATATCTGCCGAGGCCAGTGCACGAGGACACTTACATCAGCAAATTCACACATTTTGCATACTATTCATACTATTTATGTCCTATTCACACCAAAATAGTCAGAAAAGAAATAATAGCCTTTTTAGTAGGTTCATTTACTATCCACACTATTTTTCATACTATTTTTTGATTATTTATGCTATTTTCCCACTATTACTACTATCTGACTTGTTGTCGACTGCAACTTTCTTAGCACTTATTCTCACTATTTTCACTTTTGTTCAGCTCACATAAAACACAATGCATTCATGATAAAGCAGTGCAGTGCTGAAACATTAAATGAGTGTAGGCCTACGACAATCCAAAATGAGGGTGACTCAAGTAAGCACAAAAAAAGACACAATTAATTCAATGATTGTAGTTAGCAACGAGCGACTCAGGGCAGAAGGGGGGGGAGAATGAGAGCACGTCCAAATCATGGGATCCTATCAACAACTTGTTAGTAGTGTGCATAAATAACGATGTGACTTACAAAGAGTGGCAATTAAATTGTTGACATCATCCTCCCCATGTTGAAAGCTCCCTCCCTCCGACATGCAATCATACTGTATGGAATGAGCATAGTTGCTCCCATAATGATGTTATGGAGCACAGCATTGTCATGCTTAGTGATGGCTATAGCATATTGCCTGGTGCAGGGGCCACAATTCTGCTTGGAGAATGCTGAAACAGCTGACAACTCCTTCCTGGTTGCCTTGTTCACCTTGAGTGGGATCTTGATAGCTGCCTTTCTGAAGGATGTGTACTTAGCATCAATTTGCAGTTTGCCAGTTTTGAACAGGGAAAGAGTATGGTGCAACTAAAGAGAATAAGTTAGCTGACTGTCTAGGGCTAAAATGCAACACATTACTGCAGCACAGGTAAGGGCTAGTGTGCCTTTGATGCCTGTATTTTTCAGTTCCCTGATCTTCAGTTTTGGGACATCAGGGGAATCAGCACAGGGCTGCAGATGTGTGTGGCCAAGGAGGTATAATACAAAGTATGACCAGAAAATGTTCTCCAATTTGTGAGAATCTTGGTCTGAATATAAAAATGTGAAGCCTTCCAACAGCTTAGAACAGAGTTCCTGGTCCTGAGTAAGAGATGGCATGCCAATTTCTGGATCCAAGACAAGGAGGTGAGCAATAAGAGTGATTGCAGTGGATCCAAAGTTGCTGTGCCACTGGCAGAGTTGTTGACATGCCTGTCCAAGGAAGCATGAGTCAAGTAGCAAGGTAAATAATACTAACAATACAATATTAAAGACTGCCATCCCAAGACAAATGTCATTCAGGTCCTTGAAGTCCAGAGCAATGGTCAGGATAATGATTCACAGCAACTGTATGAGTTCTTCATCTGAGATTGTCCAAGGGTCAGCTAAGCTTCCAGCCCACACAAGGAGAGCAGGCATAATTTCTTTCACCCTCATCTTGCCTGCCATCAGCACAGAAGGCAGATCTTGGCTTCAGTAACAAGAGCATGTGCTGGCCTTGCCTGTGGTCCTTGTTGAAGGCACTTGACCTGCTGTAGTGCTCCTCTGTCCTGATTCTTGGTCCACATCCCTGTTGACCTTTGATTTCTTTGGTTTGTCTACTCCATTATTGGTCTGTGATTCCAAAAGAGTTAATGTACAGTTCAAATAGATAAAAAAATGTACCATCACAACACACAATTCCTTAGCAGGCAACATACAAGAGTTCAAATTGTGATCCTCAATGTTGAAGTATTCATCATCAAAGTCCTCAACCTTGGATGAGGTAACATAGTTGGCATTGTCATGATCTGAATACTTGTGCTTCGAGCTGGTCTGCACCTCCTTGAAAATGAGCTGATTGAATTCATTGTTGCTCTCTATATCATTAGCCATGCTCACAACCACCTAAAAGCAATATAACACAACAGTCAATTTGCATCAAGAGACATACCTTGAATTTGTCATGACCTATGACCTTGACAGAGAAAGCTGGTTGGTCTTCTAATTCCTCTTCATCCATGCAGTGGGTTGGTGCAGGCATCTTTCCCTGATTGAAGATGTTGAAGATGACTGATCCTACTTGATAATGTAGCATGTACCTGGTATGCTAGGCTTGTATTGGAGTTGACAGCAGTAGTAGCTCTGCTTGTCAAAGAAGGGATGGAAGTTGGTAGTCTGTTGGATCATGGCATCAGCCCAGTTGGGATGTCCTTGACCCAATGATGGACCTGGCAGTCCAAGTTGGTGTTTGGGTTGTCTCAGGTACTGAGAGCATTCCAGGTGAGGTTCAGCCAAAACAAAGTTGACTCAGTAAGTAGCAGCATCTGGCATCAAACAGTTGAAAATAAGAATGTATGTCTGCTGGGAGGTTTCATTGGATCCATGTGTCAATGCCACATTTGCCAGCAGATCAAGGTTGGTGACTGCACCTTGCCTTCTCAGCATGTGGCTAGCTGTTCTCCCACTCTGTGGCTTGTTGCTTGTATAGTCTGCAATAGCAGGAGCAGTTACCTGGTGAGTGTTGACTTCCATATCAGCAACTTCAACTGATATGTTATCAGTGTCTGCGATTGGATGACATAACTGAAACATCCTCACCTTCACCACAAGGTTGGAAAACTATATTTCCAGGTTTTCCTTGAAGGCTGACAGGCCCCCATCTTGGTCTGACTGACTTTGCTTTGGCAGTGACTTGGATTGCCTGTTTGGTCTCTGTCACAACAGGAGGGCTGATTTCCTGGCCAGGATCTCTACTTGCAGGTGCCTGTCTTGGTCTGACTGGCTTCGCTTTGGCAGCACCTTGGATAACCTGCCTGACCTCCATGGCAGTCTCCATCTCCCTGACTCAGCTGTGAGCCTGCTGGATAGCAGCTGCCTGAGCATCAATAGCTTCCTGCACATGCAAGTCATCAGCCTTCTTCTGGGCTGGGGTATGCCATTGAGTCTGCACTTTGAGAATGATCCTCCCTGGATGCAGGTTGGCCTTTTCTTGTTGTGGATGAATATTAGAAGAAGCTGACATAATACTTGTCATGCATGGGTGGAGATGAAGACAGCACAAGGTGAGTTTGAACCTGTTGTTTTTTACACAGGAAGTTTTCCTTGCAAACAAATGCACTACAGAGTCTCTTTCCTCACAAACAAATATGCAAAGTTCTGCCTAACTTAGGTTTCTGACCATTTACCAATCACACAAGGGTACCTAAATGTGTTTGTTTACCATCAAAACATTGCTGTGCAGAGGCAGCACCCAAAGCTCTCAACAGACAAAATTCAGTGCTCTCTGTCTTCCTTGTGATGTGCCAGGCTGCAACCATTGGTTCAAAAACTGGTCAGGGCTCACTCAGCACAAGCACAGCCATCTGCACCTCAACTGCTTTTGAGGGTCTCGGGGTTACTCCAAACAGGACCATGGTTTAAATTCCATACCCCCAGTAGCTGAACATGTTCTAGATTATGATGATGGTCCACATGACTTCAACTGTGGTGCAACATTGGATCAGGAACTGGATGGAATGATTGCAAAATTTGTTGGTCCTGGCAACAAGGTTTACCACAGTTATCATGCAGGTCTTAATGGTAAGCCTATGCACACATTATCCTACCTCTACTCATACAATTTATTACAGCATGAAGGTGTGACTCCCAGGGCCATTTTCTACCAGATGATGCTCTGCTGCCACTTTGTATACAGGGATCACTGGATGATTGGGCTCCATACCACAATTGATTAGAATTTGAACTTGCCAAGTCTCTTTTCAAATGTGCAGAAATGCTGGCAAACCAAATCAACATGTTGCTTGAAATCTGGGCCACCTCATTGCTTGAGTTAGGTGGCAATCCACTATTTGCCAACCACATAGATCTCTATCATGTGATAGACAGCATGTCTGTTGGTGCAGTCAAATGGGAAAACTTCAAAATCACTTACAAGTGCAAGTGGGATGTACAGCTTGGGAGAGAGGTGGGGTGTTGCAAGAGTGGAAGGTTGTGTCATTGCAAGGCTTGGATGGCTCATGGGCCTTGGACTTTCCCTTGCAGGCATCCTTATGGGCTCACTGAGTGGTGGGAGCCAAGTGGATAATGGGTACAGATATGGGTGCATGGCAGAGGCAATGGAGTCATGAAGGGGTTGGTAGGTGCCACCATGTGAGGAGTGGGTGGATATTGCAGGGGATGTGACGCATAGCACTCCAGGGGAGCACACTGGTGGTTGGGAGAGACATGGAGGGGTACTGGCATAGCAATTGAAGTAAGGATAGGATGGGTTGTAGGGTTCATTGATGTCTGCATGGAAGTCATTGTTGAAGTAGTCAGAACCAGGGTTCTCAGTGTTGGGGTGTAGGACATCATGGCTCAGAGGTTGTGAACACATTTGTACTCCCCCAACACCTCTGGTGCATTTATAAGGTTGTCCTCCCTCTCCCAGCTGTTTTGGGAGTGCAGGTAACTGAGCCACTTGATGAGGTAGAGGTATTTTTGCTGAGGGTTTAACCCTGTTTGTCTAGACAATGACTTGACCTTGCAGGCACATTTGTGTTTAAGTATAGTCTCAACTTCCCATTTGTTCTTGTCTCCTACCAGTTCTGGTGGAGGCAGGGGTCATGCTGGGCCGTACTCTGCAGTTTCGATGAAAGGGGTAAGCTTGGATGCATGGAACACAGGGTGTATCCACCAACTTTTCAGGAGTTCAAGCTTGTAGGTGACTGGGCTGATCCATTCAGAAATTACAAATGGTCCGTTGTCACACACCAAAGGTGTTTGGTGAGGTGGACATGGATGTAGCTGATGAATGGAGGTGAAGACCATAGCCCTCATGTGAAGAAGGACAGCCAGCAATGTCGGCAGTCATCCCTTGCACAAGAACAGGTTGTCAATGCCAAAGAAAAAGGAGGAGGTGAGTTAAGCGCCAATAAAATTCTTAAGTGCCCATGTACGGCATTCTGGTTTTTGACGTATCTCCACCAATTCTGCAGACACCGAAACCATTCCCACACTCGCTTGTAGTGCTCAGCCATGCAATCCTACCTTCCAAGATTGGAAAGGATTTGCACACTCCACACATTTCTACAGCACTCCCTCCAAAAGACACTCATTTCGCTAATTCTTCTGATATGGCTGCCTCCACATCAGTCATTTTGCTTGTCCCCTTTGCTAGGGACCATGGCTACATATATCTACCAGGAGTTCCTACCAGCTTCCATCCTGAAGCATCCTGGTACATCCCACCCTCATCTGCCCCCTCTCAGTCCATCCAGCTTGGACAGCATGTTCTTTTTGTCAGTATGACCTCCAGGAGGACGTTCTTTGGTCGCCTCAGGTCTGTCATTTGCTTGGAAAGGTCTTATGTGGTCGTTTCAGTCTCTCCAGTCCAAGAAGCATATGGATCCTTCCTCCCTGCCCCCTGCAATGTCTTCATACCAGTCTTGTCCATCATTCTTCCAAAATTGCGACAGCTACAGTGTAATCTACTGTTCTCCACTCTCCCTGATCGCATCCATGATGAGTATGATGCACATCTTGCCTCCTTGTTGCAAGATACAGCAGAAGACGCTCCCCCTTCATCCTCTCTTCCAACAGAGCCTCATTCATGAAGTTTTTATTTGCTTCACTGAGAGGATGGTTTGGGGGGGAAAGTTGCAATCCCCTATGCTCCTGTCACCCCACAGACCCCCAAAGCTTGACCCCTGTTGACATCTGACTCACCCTGTCTGCTTTTGGATGTACTATATCGGCATCAGATCAGCACTGCCTCTCTGTCATCCCACCTTGGCCTAGAAGCGATCTCTTCAAGATGTGACATGCACAGCCTCCCCCTAATGCAATTCCAGTGCACTTTCCCAGTTCCTGACATGGCTTGACTCATACTTTGACATTCTGACTGTCTTTGACTCACCTATTGCCAATACTTACCAATCTTCTGACTTTGCTTACTGATTCTTCACTTTTTGGCTTACTTATCCTTACCAATGCTTACCAATGCTTTCCAAGATGATTACCCATTGCTTACATTCCTTACTCATCAGTTACCAATTGCTTACCAAGTGTTTGCACCTTGTTTTCCATAGGCAACGCCCCTGTACTGTATATAAGTCACTGTACTTAGGTAGCAAAAAAAAAGACATCAGAGAGCCCTGCTTGCTCGCAATTTATCATCTCTCAGTAAATCATTCATCAGCTTCGATAGTTGAGACTTTATTAAGGGTCTAGCTATCATCTACTTCGCTTATTATCATCTATCATCCATATACTTTGCTCCAAGCCCTCCCTAAGCTCAGTACAGCTTAGGACATCGAATTAAGTCACCATCCATCCTTCTGTAGGCTGACAGCAGTCTACTCTATCGCTTTCTATCACAGTCTTGCTCCCTCTTTGTCAGGAGCACCCCCAACCCTCAGCACTCATCTTTGAGTGTTGTAGCTCGCAGAAACCCTCCCAAAAAAACAGGTTCTACCATCTAGGTACCGCATAGGCACACCACCACTCGCTTTTGTTGTCTTTTGCGTTGGTTTTGGTTGGTTTTCACCACTGAACCACACTTTGACTCACACCATGTTGTCAGGGTGCAAGCTTCTTTGATGGAACTTCCCTTTTCAGGTCAGAAGCATCCAACCAAACCTTATCTCCTATGGAGAACTCTGTGTAGTCCCCTTTTGATTGCTTCTTCATCAACTCCTGGGCTTCTTTATGAGCAATTATCACAGTGTCCTAATTGGCAGCCAGCTGCTTGAGTTGGTCCTCCACCAGCATTCCCTGCAGGGATTGCCTGATCAGATAGGGGGCAGGATCAAAACTGTACATGAGCAAATATGGTGTTTGGTTGTGGGATGAATGCACATGCAAGTTGTGCACCATCTGAGCATCTGGGAGTTTGGTGTGCCAGTTGTGGGGATCCATATCCATGTACAGGTGAAGATAGGTGCCAACCTCTTGGTTTACATGTTTGGCCTCACCATTGGTCTGTGGATGATACATGGTCAAGGCCTTCAGTTTGACTCCAAGGGATTGGTAGAGGTTGCGGGTGAAGGTGGAGATGAATTGAGGTCCATGGTCTGAGATAACAGCTTCCAGTACACCCCAGTGGGGGTAGACATAGGCATGGTAGAGGTCTGCAATGCCTACACTATCCATGGTTTTAGTTGTCAGTAGGAAGAATGCACCCTTTGTCAGTCCCTGGTCGATGATAGTGAGAATTGAGTCCTATTTTCCACCAGACAGGGGCAGGTCTGTTATGAGATCCATAGAGACCTGTTTAAATGGGAAGGGGTGCTTTGCTATGTCATGTGGGGTGATCAGTGGAGTTGTCAGATGTGTATTGACCTTGTTGGCTTGGAAAGAGGGGCACCCCTTGCAGTAGCTATGGATGGACTGGTACATCCCAGGCCACCACACATACTTGTTCATTTTCTTCATCATTGCTTTTACTCCAGGGTGTCCAAATGTGGGAAGATCATGGTACTGCTGAAGGATATCTTGGCAAACAGGTTCAGGGACAAAGATCCTCTTCCCTTTTCTCCTGACTCTGTCAGACCCTTCTGTTGTTTCCAGGGCAGAGAGGGACCTGGATGCTTTCTTTACCTCCTGGTACAGGTCAGCATTTAGTTGGAAGACACATCCTTTTCCCTTGGTGTGAGTCCAAGTGGACTCCAGCTCCTTGAAGGAGACCTTGTGAACTGGGGCAGAGGTCAAGGGGACCTCTGAGGCAGTTCATTTGATCTTGAAAAGGGAAACAACAGGGGGTCTCACCCCCCCCCCCCTCAAGCCAAATGGCCTTTGGAAGTAGGGTAGAGATGGTAGAGGGCTTGGCATTAAAGTCTGAGTGGTGGGAAAGGGTGTTGGTGGCAGAATTTTTGGTTCCTGCAATGTGGACAAACTGTAATGGGTACACCTGGAGAGTCGCTTGCCAGTGTGCTTGTTGGGCAGTAAGCTTCTGCAGTTGCACATAATATGTGATATTTTGGTGATCAGTATACATGCAAATTGGTTCCAGGGGTGATAGCAGGTAGGGGTGCCATTGCCTGAGGGCATGCATTACTGCTAGCATTTCCAGGTTGTAGACCTGATAGTTTTGTTCTGCTCCAGTAAGCAACTTTGACATATATGTGCAAGGGTGAAGCATTCCCAAGTTGTCGGCTTGGGACAGGACAGCACCAGTGCAAAGCTTTGAGGCATCAGTGTGGAGTATGAACAGTTTTTGGAGGTCCAGTAGATGAAGAACTGGTTTGGATGACAGGGCCTTCTTCAGAGCATTGAAGGCAGAGCTCTGTTCGGGACCCCAAGTCCATTTGGCATTTTTCTTTGAGAGGTCATGCAGTGGATGGGCAGTTTGTGAGAAGCTGGAAATGAACTGCCAGTAGAAGTTGCAGAACCCTAAGAGGGAGCAGAGTTCTTTGAGGGTCATTGGTGCAGTGTGAGTCAAAGTGTGGTTCAGTGGTGAAAACCAACCAAAACCAACACAAAAGACAAAAAGAGTGAGTGGTGGTGTGCCTATGCAGTACCTAGATGGTAGAACCTGTTCTTTGGGAGGGTTTTTGTGAGCTACAACACTCAAAGACAAGTGCTGAGGGTTGGGGGTGCTCCTGATGAAGAAGAAGCAGGAATGTGAGAGAATGTGATAGGGTAGACTGCTGTCAGCCTACAGAAGGATGGATGACAACTTAATTTGATGTCCTAAGCTGCACTGAGCTCAGGGAGGGCTTGGAGTGAAAGTATATTGATGATAGACAAGGATAAGTGAAGTAGACTGATAGTTAGACCCTTAATAAAGTCTCAACTATCAAAGCTGCTGAATGAATTACTGAGTGATGATAAAATGTGAGCAAGAGGGGCTCTGCTGACTGTCTTCTTTTTTTTGCTATCTAAGTACAGTGATTTATATACAGTACAGGGGTGTTGCCCTTGGAAAACAAGGTGCAAACACTTGGTAAGTGA